TACAACATGGCAGCACGGCTGCAGCTGACTGCAGGGAGACAGAAAATCGCCGACAGTGTGAATGCCTGAATGAACAGGGCACAGTCTACGTTGATTTGATGTGTTCTTATGGCGTCTATGAAAATATCAGCCTTATCCTTATAGCTCGGCTGTGTGTCGGCGTGTCCTCATTAAAAGAAGAGTCCTTTTAAGAACTTCTCCTCACTGCAAAAATGAGATTAATTTAACACACTGAAAAAATTAACTTCATAAAGCAATGAAACGAAAAATCCATTAATGCCATAAAATGTGCTCAAATAGTGGTGAAATTCTGAATCTCTACATTTTGACTACTGAAAACTCACCTCATTACCTGCACCCACTTCGCAAAAGGTGGGGAGGTACATAACCAGTATCTGTGATAGCCTACAAGAAAGCTACTAACCTAAAATAAATATTAAACTTAATTCCAATATCCCTACCAAACTATATGCTCATAAAATTCAGCCTACCATAAGAAAAATGAAACCCATTTATGTTAACGGCTGCGACACGCTGTGTGAAATGGACTGGGGAGCAAATATAAAACACATTTCAAAGCAGTAAGTAGGCTTACTGTAAAAACCTGTACAATGGTAGCTTACAAGGCTTTCAATCAGTCTCTGTAGGATGATACCGCTATAGCCTACAAATGTTTCTCTACATCAAGCATCAAACGAAAACAGTCTCTGAGATCTCCTACAGATGGTGATGTCATTTTCCAAGAGAGTTGTCAGTAGCGGTGTTTTCATGGAGTCATCTCTTCTCTGGAACAACCTACTCCAGAGCAGGTTAGCTGCATGAAGTTACCATGGCGATCTACCCGGGTAAGAAGTGAACCACCGTCTGGTACTGAAAACCCAGGGTTAACCCCGAAGATACCTGATAAGCTCAAATCCTGCTTCGTGGTACAGGCCCCAGCTCTGATCAGCTGTGTAACTCATATCATTCAAGTCACAAAACTCACAGACTTATTAGCTGGATGATAATACCAACAAACGCACCAATATACATATACAGGTACAACATATGACTTACTTTTGCCGTTTTCGCTGTTTTTCATCCAAAAACAGCTGCGGGCCACCATCTTGGTATTGCGCAATCCATCTGAGCTCTTAGGATTCTTTTTCACCTCAAACTGTAGCTGAAGAAAAGTGTTGCTTTGGAACAGACGCTTCTTTATCATTGTCTGCTGGCCGACCCGTAGGCAAAAACGTACAGACATCCAATATATCAACCGATTCGTCTGCTCAATACAAAGAAAAAGAGACCACAGCCTTGTAGGATGTTCTGTTCTCAAGTTGTGGGCCAGTAAAGCATGGGGGTTCTTTTGATCATAGGAATGTTCACTGTTTTTATCAATATTTCAATATTTTGGAAGCTTTATGTTATTTGAAACATGGTTGTATGGACAGAAAAAGTGTTTAGAAGATAACTCCCAATAAAAGTGAACATGTAGGCTAAACAGTAAATATGGCCAAAACATGGACATTCGCCTGGTATACTTCTGAAAGTATATTAAGTTTCTTTTCATCAAATTTACAGTTATAGTTACAGTTGTATTCCAGGTGAAGATGTTCAATTACATTATAATCAACAGGATGATGGTTTTGATTGTGATATTGCTATTAAAATATAGATTTTATACCAGGCAAGCATGAAAATATCATATTTTCCTTTCTTGCATCTCTATTTACTCTTTAGTAGCAAAATAAATAGGTTTACTAGCAACAATATTCCTTAGCTTCTGACCTATGCATCTAGGCCTGATGGTTGAGGAGTTATTCCATGTTATTGTATTTTTTTTTAATCTGGCCAACAGAATTATTCAAGCATAGCTGAAGAAGCTACTGTGGATACATTTTATTCGACAAGCCACAACATCAGAGTCAACAGAAGCCCACTTAACGTCTGTGTTCTAAGACAACAAAGGTAAGCATTGAATAAACATTGAATCCTACATCCCTCCAAACACTGTGCCAGCAACATCTTGGCCCAGACCGGCCATCGGTCCTGAAACAACACAGCCGCATCAGCGAGGACACTTCATCCGTTCGATGACTGTTCTCAAGGAGTCACCTGGGAGCATAACCTGCTATCCCTGTCACTGCACTGTGGCCTCAGCCCTGCACATAACACTGGAAAGCCAGTGGGAACATCTCATCTCTGCCAGGGCTTAGAACAATAGGGTAAACCACAGTTTTTGTTTGTTTTTCTTCATCATATAACGTTTTTTATTAACCATAAATTTATTCAGTTAATATACATTTAGCTATAAAGAAATTTTTATCTCAAAATTTTACCTCATTTTATCTGTGTCTGTAAGAAGACAAAGGTCAATCTATCAAAAATAATTCTAGGATACTGAGATCAATTTAATAATCTAGTTAATAATTCATTTGTTTTATTTGTTTTCCCTGTTAATACTGTGGTGCCCCATACGAGTTATTAAAGTAGTGTTTCTCTTACACATGTGTGCACACAAGATGTGCATAAGCAAACACCCTTAAACTGCTTACATAATTATGTTTATATTTTTGCTGATAAATGTGTTATGTGTTTATTTGACAGTGGGGGCCTCCCTTGCTGGCCAGACCCTGGGAAGATAACCACCACAAACCATAACCCTCACAAAGTCCTCTGTGGAAAATCTGGCCCATGGGGGTGAAAGGTGAGAGGTCAGGCTTGTGAGCCCAGCTTCCTGGAAAAAATCTGAGAGCGCTGTGGACTACACGACAGAGTCCAGTCTAACACTAGTTCTCAGAACATAATTATAGCTGTTGCTTGTGTGGGATGCCGTAGGGGAGGGGGCCCATATGTATAGGGGACCCTAGAGGGAGGTGAGATGAGGCTATAATTAGCGTCAAATCTTGCAGGGGGGCTCTGAAACCTCGAACACTGGCCCTCACTTTATAGCAACAAGATGTCCATGTGAGAAGAAGAGATTGCACAGATTTCCAGCATTCCCACTCTCTCTGCTCTGTTCTACTTTGAATGAGTCAATGTGTTCCATATGGTTTCATTAATGCTTTTGCAGGACAGAGTTGTTTCTGGATGAGTTTTTATCAGAATATTTGGCAGTGCTTGTCTAAGAAACAGCACGGTCACATTGGCCCCCTGACACCTCAACTCAAACAATCCACACAAACTGAATATCCAATGCCACAGGAAGCCTGGTTCCCATGTTTGTGAGTGTCTCCATGTATAACAGGAAGAAGGATGAGAAAGTATTGACGTCTAATCGATCTGACATCTTCCTCTAGACTGTAGTCTTTTCCTCTTAAACACATATGTGAGCAGCACACACACCCACACACACACAGACTCCCTAGGGTCATGACTCTGGTCAACCTCATGCAGAGTTTATGAGGTCCAAGGAGCTCCGGTTCCTCTGAGGAGCAGTAAAGAAGCTATAAAGATGTCAACAGATAGCCTGGTCCCTCGGTACAAACTGTGTGCTCACAAATAAACAAAAACATGTGGCACCAAAATGCTTTAAAGTATACATGACATCCCAGATTTAATACACACAATTGTTTCCCAGACTTCCAGAGTTCCCCAACATAATAATTGCTGTACTTTTGTTTCTGGAAACTGACTGTATCACTTGGGATCAGATTTACTAACAGTTGGACAGTTTGTACTTTACTGACCAAGGAAGCAGTTCTCATTTACATTTTTATGAGCAAGTTTCCAACTTGGTACAATTGGTTCAACTAAATGAGTAAATTGTACCAGACTATAGCCAGGCTAGCAGCTCTGTGAGGGTGTGCATAGGCACAGTGGTGCTTTGAGCAACACGCTAACATCAGTAAACATGCTCACAATGCTGTTTAGCCGGTATAGTGCTTACCTGTTAGTTTAGCGTGTTAGCATGCTAACATTTGCTTATTAGCACAAAAAATAAGTAGCCTACAGCTGAAGCTGACTGAAATGTAATTAGTTATAATACTGTTTATATATACTGTTAATAATTATCTGAACAAAATTAAATGGTCATTTTTCCAATAGTTGTTATGATGTGATATTTCACTAAAAAGCAAAAATGATAACCTCATGGCAATGCTGCAGGGAAGGTTCATCTCTGGACACAATGAATGTTGTTGACAGGTCATGGCACATAAAATTATTAAATTGTTTGATTTAATATTATGCATTTATTTCTTGTTATATACACTTAATAAACATTGGTTTGTGGCTTTGGTCACAAATAAAGTCTACAACCTTTCAGTACAATACAATACCGTACTTTAAATTTTACCCCAGCTCATTACCGAGCTATTTCATAATTTCTGGGAGGTTTAAAGTTTACACCAGTCGTAGCATGAGACAGGAACCTCCAAATGTGAGCCATAAGTGTGAGATTATTGGCAAAGTCATCTGAATATGTCTGAACAGCAGCTCAAAAGAAAGATCAGTTCACTGGGACCTTTTGAAGGACATGGATTATTAAGATGACATTTTTATTTTGCGTGATTAATTTATATGTATATTATCAAAATAGGTTAAAGTCTAATATTCATAATGCTGAGCACAAATTGTTCCTTATGTATAAGGAAAGATCCTCAGTTGATGTATGGTGCAAACCTAAATATATCATTGAAAATAACAGTGAAAAACCTTATATGACCAAAACTTAAATTGCTTTGTACATATTTAAGTTCCACTTACCATTAGGTACAGAAACCAGTGGGTTTAATGGTTTCCCTGAAAAGAAAAGGCTATTTCAAATGAAGATTAAGTTCATCTCATTTTAAGCTGATCATTATATTATGTCCTAAGAGCTACTCTTATTAGTAAAATGTCCTTCATTTCTGGAGTTGTTTGTTTTTGGTTTGATGATTATAAAAAAAACTATTATTGCTTCAGTTATGTGCTTAACTGACAAATGTGTCACTACTAAAACTGTGTGTGCTGAAATTACAATAAATAACACAACTAATACTGACAAGTAAACATTTAGTAGATGACATGATGCAACATGAAATTGTGAAAATATAGATTTATTTTTGATTCTGAACAACTGAAGACCATTTTTGATATAACAAAATTACAGCACTAGTCAACCGTGTAACCATTACAAGCACACGTGCAGTATTTTCACTTTACCAACGCAGTGTGCTAAATTACAATAAATAAAAGCACCATGCACTCATGGCTGTGAAAGCTGTTGCACAAAAGCCAGTAATTGTTAAATGACACATACAGCGAGAAAATTTCACAAACTGCCATCTGTGAATTAAAAGAAAGTTGTGGGTGTGTTTTTTTCTCTCCATGTTTCTGTCCTTTTACGCAAATCAACTCAGTTCTGTGTACTGGAATTCACTGCATTGCTGCTACAATGCAAATATACTTGGACCTCTTTCTGTGGAAAATAAATGATGTGTGCCAAAGAAATGAGAATGGAAATGTTTACGAAAGACTTCCTGACTCTGCTTGCTTGCAAAATGGCTTATTTACAAAGCATGATGATACAGAGCATTTGTCAATCAGGATGAGATACGAGATGGCAGTGTGGGAATGAGGCTTCTCCTGTGGCCAGCTGTGGTGTCTCAGCTGCGTGTGCTGTACAGGTCTTCATCCTCAGGGTCGGACTGGCCGAAGTCCATTACAGCAGGGTCTGGCTTGAAACCAGTGCCCCCTGGAGGGCAGCAAGAGAAATGCATGCTCAGTCAAAAGCACAGAAATATAATATGTTAAACGGGATTTAGCTGGTCCATTACATTACAAGATAACCCTAATTAGAACCAGCCAAATCTAATGAGTACAAGGGGTCAAAGCAGCAGTGTCCTATCAGTCTTACTGTGACCATACAATACTAGTGAACTAGTGTTCAGTACAATAGGCATGGATTCTAACTAGCACAGAGACCCAAACATGCACAAAGACACACCACATCTCTTCCTAGAATTAACAAAATTCTGTGTAGGTGTTTTTCTTGGAGACTAGGGTTTATTCGAGCAAACAGATTCTGTAACTACCTTTCCAATGTATAATCCATTGTTATCGTAAGATTGTCTTTCATGTTTACAAACTGCGGGTCCTACACACCACTAAGGTTTTCAAACTGCACATATCCAATGTTAATATATGCAAAAAGGCTTGCACAACTAATTCACTCTGTTGAAATGTTGAAGATATGGATGGGTTCTCCATAGACCAATGGTGTGTGTTTGGCTGAAATATGAGATGTCACAGTTATACTGAGTGCCAATATGCACCTGCATACGTCAGACATCGAATATTGAGGGCTGAAAGTGAGTGGACTGCAGCTGTTTGTTTATTGTTGAGCTGCACTTGATTGTTTTGTCATGTATTTCAGGGCTGACTTGTGACACAAGATATATTTAGGTAGAAACTGACAATAGCATTATCAAATCTCTGCTTATCTAATGTCTGTGTGCATGGGTAAGTCACTGCCTGACTCACCAAATAGTGCAGCGGTATGAGTGCAAGTGTTCACAGTACCTTTGCTGATTTCTGCTGCAGACTGTTGGGGAGGTGTCGGGGTCAGTGTCTCCTCCACAGCAGCAACTTGGGGTGGGTCAGCTAACTCAGGTTGAACAGCAGGTTCGGGCTCACCAGATTCACCAACTGGCACTGTGGACAAGTCAAAACACAACTGACTTTTGTGACTTCATAGTAATATTGACAGTAACATTTACAACAAATCAGTGTACTGTAGAACTAACGCAAAAAAGGTATGAATAGCTTTCACAAACATTTACTGGATCATTATTGTGCTTAGGAGCTTTCAATAAATTAAGTAGCTGTTCCATTCCCAGTTAATCCACTTCTGTACCAACAGTGGTTTTCCAAGTAAGTATTACTAGTGCACTTTCTAGTACCTGCTGCCTCATCTGAGGCCTTTGGAGCAGGTGGTTCTTCAGAGGAAGAAACGTCCTCGACTGGAGCCGCCTCCGCCTCCACTGGCAAAGCGGCCTCCACCAGAGTAACCTCCACTGGAGAAGCCTCTACCATCTCCGGTTCTAAGCTCAACGTCGGCTTGCCTGGACTAGAGTCAGGGGAGACATCCTGTGCATTTTTTGTGTCTGAGGGCTCCTCACTTTCAACAGGAGCAGGTATTTCCCCTGAGGTTGTGGTGGTCTCAGTCTCTGCAGGCACTGAAGGAGAAAATTCAGCAAATCATCAGTAGAAGCCTTTGTGTTATTGTGTGTGAAACAAAAGAGATGGAGACAGAGAAAGGAGCAGACAGAGATCAATATCTATAATACCTGCGATGGTCTCTGTAGGGGTCTGGTCGGGGGATTTATCTGTGAGTGTTACTGATGACGCCTCCTCTGTTATGACAGTGACAATGTGCTCATCAGAGACAGGAACAGACAGAGCTAATTCCACCTCTGTCTCTGGGATTGTAGCACTCTGGACTGAGCTGGGCTCTGAGGCCTCCTCCACTACCGCAGACTCTGGGTTTGGCACTGTAGCTGCCTAACAACATATGGATAAAAAGAAAGATTTAAATCTGTTTTAAATCTGTAAGACTGTTTAAATTATTCTATATAAAATTATTATGAATCTTACCATTTGATTAATCACACTAAAACTTAACTTGTCAGTGACAGAAGTAACACATTTAATCTATAAAACAGAATAAAGCTTTACAATTTCATTGAACATTTCAATTCTAATAGGTTAGATTTATTACACTGACTATGGTGAAAAAAAAAATCGCTAACATTAGCATTTTACATTTCAGGCATTTAGCTGACACTATGCAGTGACGCACAGTGAGTTTAACAGCAGTAAAAGCTTTAAGTTCTTGATCACAAGTGACACCAAGTGACTACATATGATGTGCACTGTAACTTTTACATCATAATAGGGCAAAGTGCTAGGAAATGAAATGTACTTAAACCTATTGAGAGGTAAAAAGGGACTTTTTTGAGCAAGTAAAAAGTGAAGGGCGGAAATGATTCACAGGGAAAGTTATCAATATGTGGGTTAAGCCATTGTCTTGGTTTTAGTCACACAGTAAAACAATACTTTCAGAAACAAACTGGTTACATCCATACATAATGGTCATAATAAATCTATTCAGTAATTCAGTCTGACTGTTAACCTGCGGGTGTGCAGCAGCAATCTCTTTGGCAACAGGCTCCTGGGACTTGTAGGTGAGCAGCGAAGACACTGCGGCGCTGCTCCACAGCCCTGCAGCATACACCTTCTTACCTGTCACCTAGGGAGGTAAAAGACAATAGTAGTGTTAAACACTGAAAATAATGACTTTGTATTACCAAGAGGTCAGCATTTGAAAAGGTTTGGTTACCTTTAACACAGCCACAGTCTGGGACGGATAGCACACGGAAGCTCCTGCACTCATCAGGCCCAGCGGAAGGGCTATCCTCTTGAAACGAGAGCCTTAAATAATGTTTGCGATAAAGAATGGCAATCAATCTAACTTGGCACAGACTAAATCCTGGAGCCCAACTTCATCTTGAACTGCTGTATTTAGAAAGATCACATACCCCTGGCTTATTAGCTTATTTAGACTGACATAGTGGCACCGGTTAGACTCGTGTTGGTGGTTCACGACGCTCTTCCCAATCAAGTTTGAACACAGGCCAGACATTGACTAGATTTAGTGAACAGGTGTCTTTACTAGGAATGAACTCATTCAAAACTGAAATAGAAACTTAATGTCACTTGTTTGTAATGTGTTCTACCTGTGGTTTAGCAGCCAGGGGACTGCAATTGAAGTGGCAAACTGTGGTCTGCGAATGCTGGTAAACAGTGACAGCTGCCTCTTATGACTGGATCAAACTTGTGTTACATGTGCTTAAAGTAATCAACTGTAAATTCAAGAGTATCATATATAACACCTAGGTACATAATTGTGAATGTCTAAATAAAGTATCTGTCAGTCTATCCATCTATATGAAAGGGGTGTTATTTCCACACGTCCAAATTCAGGGTGGCTTGAAAATAGATGTCTAAAATATAACACTTAAACATAAACACACATTGAAATACTACATATTATCACTACATAGATTTCCTGCTGGGAAACTTTACAACCGTACAAAAGGAAATATTAGATGGTTACATCGTTATCATTATTGATGTTTAACATTCTGCAGGGCTGGATGTAGAACCTGAATACATTGTTCAGGTTATGACTGTTTGAATGAAGATCATACTGAACAGTTAAGAATTTTGATTTTTTTTATTCATTTGATTTTGTTAAATGAAAATGAAATTTCTTTTGGAAAACCAGCTTTTACACGGCAACTAAGGGATACTGAAAATGTACTGTTGTGAAATCAGTAATAAAACTGGAGGTATATCAGACGGCATATTGCGAATCGAAAAATGTGAATGAAAGTTGATTGATGTGCTAAACATTGTGAGACGACATTTGCCTGTGGTTTGTTTTTATATACAGTAATCATTTTCCATGCACTAATAAATGACAAAATAACTGTTCCCAGCAGGCCTACAGTGTGTGTGATATAGTGACTGGGGATCGAGTTACCTTTTCGTGCCAAGAACATGCCAAGCAGGCCAGCCATGTTGATGGTGCCAAATCTGGGTAGAAAACCCGGTGGAGGGTCTTTCAAGTAATAGTAAACATCTGGGAAACACAGGAACGCAGTCTACATGACAAATATTTCTTAGTTGTGAACTGGTGTCTGGCCCTCTGCTCATATTGTGATTATTTACAACACTAGCAGCAGTAAGAATATTGTTAAATAGTATGTGCAGAAGTATGACTAATGGATAGAATGATACACTAGCGCTTTTCTTACATATTGTCTGATGTTGGGGACATAACATACCCAGTACAAATGCCACAGAGAAACATGCACAGTCACAAAAAAAAACAGTGTGCTGTTTTATAATGAAATTTTACATACAGCAGAAAGATATATTTTAATAAGGCCATAAATAGATACACATTGTGTGATTTGTTTTTAGGGTGCCAGTACAATCTCATGAGTTTAAGGCAACAAGAGTTTATGTACAAAAAACCCTTCATGTGTAATATCAGAAATGTACCACACAATTCCGAATATAAGTGCTATATAAGGAAGGCAAGGGATTTAAGTTTTGTATTTCAAGGATGGAGATTATTTGTTATATATATATATATATATATATATGATGCCTTGCGTATCTACTGTTGACTCACCCTCTGCTGCATGGTATAGATTAACACTTCCACTTTTCACAGATACAAAGGCACCCTGCGGGGAACAAAGGACAAAGCTGAAATCAACCACTACAACACACCACCAAGAACAGAACTAACTAGACGATTCTGAAACAGATACATCGGATTCAGTTTGAGGCGTTACCCCCCCCCCCTTTCTTCCACATTATCAAACTGTCAAATCTCCTCTCGGCAAACCTTAAAGCGGCTGGGTTAACTGCATGAACGCTATTTCCTGTCTGACTCCTAAACTTTGCTGTTTGCAAAATCGTTCCTGCACAGAGCACTTGCAGCATGAGGGATTGTGCTCTGTAACCGCAAACAAGAGGAACAAAAATCAGGGTTGGAAAAATAACACTGCAGGTGCAAGATAAGACCTCTGCAATGGGTTTTAGCTGTTGTTCTATTTCTATAACATTTATTTACACCACTCAAAGGGTTATTGTTGTCTTTGGGTTTAATGTGTTAGAGAGGATGTGAAAGTAGTAGCTAATTGTGCCGCAGTGGTGCTTGCAAACTTTAATTTGTTGTTATGCATCGCTGTAGATATACACATAAAATCTAAATACCTGTACAGCCTGGAAAAATGGTAGTATGCTCTCTCTCACTGTAGTTAACCTGCTCTCAATAACACCTGGCCTCCCTGGAACAAACTGGGCAGGAGCAGACTGTAGCAGCGGTGTGTAGATGTTCAGCTGGGGACAGAGGCAGAGTCATCATATAATTATGACGTGTAACAGTTCGGTGAATGGCAATGCGTTCTCTCCCACCAGATCTGCTGAAGTTTTGGGACAGCCATACCTTTTCTCGAGTAACCAGCCCACCAGTGGGCGCTTCGCTCACAGTATACACACGGATGGAGGCTATGCCCAGCACTGTCGGGACAGCCACCATCACCACCTAGCACACAGTCAAAGTACAGTGCAAACTTTAATGTCTGTCAACTCATAGCAAAAACACAAACAAACTAATAGACACTGATAGACAGATGACTCATGTGGACCAGTGGTGGAAGAAGCAGAGAAACATTAGATGTTTTACATATGTAGCAAAGCCACAATGTAAAAATACCCCATTCAAAGTAAAGTCTTGTGGTCATAATTTAATAATTAAGTAAAAGCATAAATATGACAAGAATATATTATTAAATCATCAAAGGTACTCATGATTAATTCCCAGAGTGTTATTGTTATCATCATAGCTGTCATACTGTTATACTACTACCATTTTAATGTTGCAGCAGCTTTAATTGGAGCTCATTTTAATGGCTTTGTGTACTATTGGGTACTTAAACTATAACATGCGTCATATTATAAGTTACATATCATGTTTTGCATGCATAATATTTAGTATATAGCTAGTTGTTAAATAAATGTAACGTTAATAAAGTCAAAGACCCTTAAAATGATACTTAAATACAGCGTTTAAGTAAATGTATTTAGTGATTGTCACTACAGATACGCACATGGTCAGCGTTCAACAGCCACAGTATCTGTAACTACATTTACTGGATACTGTGGAGACATTAACTTACAACCGACACCAACTAAGCTAACGTTAAATGTAATGTTTACGTTGCCTTTAACTGTGTTCATGTTGATGCAAAACGGTCTATATTGACTAACGAAGCCAGGGTTGCCACATATTAATATTTCTCGGCTGTTACACATGCTTCGGCGTAAAGTAATGGTGGAAGTAGTGCTCAAACTGCTGTCAGCTAACTTAGCAAAACGCTGTCTAGTTAGCATAGACTCACTCAGCGAGGCTAATACAGAAGACATAGTTAGCGCAGCACAGCGTTTAATGCCTGGAAGGTGACAGTCAGTCCAAGTTTGCATTAACAGCTCCGGGACTGTTGACACTAACACTACACCCACGCATTCATTGAAAATACACATTTTAAACACAAAAAACTTTGCCGAAGAGGTAATGTCAAGCATTCACCTTGGCCGCCATGACAGCGCTCCCCCTTCTTCTTGGACTCGCCGCTTCGAATAGTCCAAGCCACGGTCAGCTACTGCCACCTACTGGACGGAAGGGGCATCTGCAGCAGCCCGCTATTGATGGTGATATCATCAGTGTTCACATGCTCTCAGTACCGGTAATGACTGTTGTTTTGTAAATTTACATGCATGCAATTAAAATGTAAAGAATCCCATTTCGTTTTATTAATATTTTAGGAGGAATTCTAAATGATTAAACTGTTACTGCAAATCCGCATTTAAAGCGATTGTTAATGATATGCAGTGGTTTTTTAGGGGCTCCAAATGCTCCACGTTCACTGCAAGTCTGATGGTTTTGGTAATTTGATTAGTTTTGTTAGGGAATTGGCTCAACTTATAAAGTACAATATTAACTGAGGTGAATCTGGTATTATATTATAAATAGTTATATGGCTCTATCTTGAAGAGGGGCTCTGTGTCAAAAAGAGCTAAATTATTTTCGTAAATGGTGTGCTCATGTTCCTAACGCAAACAAACACAAATCAAGTATTGTTCCAGCATAGTAGAGTGCACTGGCTGCTCTGAACTTGATGGGATCTTGGAGGCGATGGAGTACATACACATTGCACAGGGCAGGAGGTGGGTCAGACATATAGGCCCCAACAGCCAATTTTTGCCCCGTGGACCCTAACAGGTTAGAAAAAGATTTGTCTGAAAAACAGATGAGAACAAAGTAGCACCATTAGATGCTTCATTACATGTACACGTCGTGCACACGTGAATATGAGTGTGAATGCCTGGATGCCTCGTGATAGACTGATTACCTGTCCAGTGTGTATCCCACCTCTTACTCAATGTGAATAGCCTCCTTCCTCCCCTGACCCTGTATTGGATAAGTGTGCACAGATAATGGCTGGATGCAATGGGTGGATGCATAGAAGTGCATGCATACTAGCTAATTTTAGTAGTCTGAGGTGGATACTTACGAAGAGTGAATAGGTAAGGGTTCAGTTTGCTCAAAGACATTTTTGATAAACACGTTAGCTTTTGCAGGAGTAAAACCTCCTGGGCCTCCTGCTGTGGTCATCTCCACTGTGGCAACATCAGCACAGAACATGCTGTAATGCGGTTTCAGTAAATCCAAGAAACAGTACACATAAACAGGACATAGCTCGTAGTGCAGAGGATTCAGTTTATTGAAGTCAAAGTTTAACAACTTAAGTTTACAATCTGTCTTTTTTGTAATATATATTCATATATATGAAACCAAAAAAGGCTACTTTAGGAAGAATAAATGTCATTTTCTTTCTTTTTTAATATCATCTTTAGTCAGTTTAATGTACAGAATAACAGTAAGCTAATATTATCCTTGAAAAAGAGCAATATGTTCCTTTTTTAATGTCGCAGTGCAACTTACATCTTACACACCTGTGCAATGTACCATGAGGTGTACACCCCTGAAAGAACACACAGTGGAATCTCCCTTTTCGGCCTGTTTCTGCAGGTCCACACACACAAAGATCTGGGAGGGATAACACAGTCTGTGCCTACAAATCATAACTCACACTCCTTAATCTACAGTATGTCGCCTGCTCAGCGGAGCAGCGGCTGGATAAAGAAGACCAAAGCTAAAGATGAGAGGTCTGCAGACTAAATCTGTATTGTAACTCTTCTACAGCTGTGTGTGTGTGTAGGATCGCCAGTATAGTCAGTCCATCGTTGCCAAAGAGAGGGTTGGGAGGCACAGGGAAAGTGCTTGCATCATTTAGTTTCTTTGTGGTACTCTCAAATTAACCATTCAAAAAACATGAGCTATATCTCTGGGGTGTGTTTGATATTTCACGACAGTGTGACATGATGAAAAAACCTGAACCTACACGCAAAGAACTACAGTAAAATATGAAGAATAAGTACAGATAGTGCTGGATGCAGCAGTTGCTACGCATGTCTCTCAGAGTCTTCGACACTGGGGGGCACCGTCGAGTCCTTGGCCTGATATTGCAGATGAAATGATTCATCCGGGTTTCACAGACATTAAAGACCATTTAGTGTAGCGAGGTCTTTGACCGTCCAGTATCAACCATAATCTATGAGGGAATGTCAAAATAGCTTTTGTTAGTTTTGAGTAACTGTACTGTTGTCTGTCAGGTAAGTTTCCTGAAGCCTTTGGACTAGTGTCTGTCCTTCCATGTAAACCAAAACATCAAATTGAAACCCCCTTCTAGGATGCTGAAGGAGGATCTGCATTAGATCACGTAACTGAGCAGCAAACATGCCTCCCTCAGTTATTGTACAGTGTGTGTCTTCAAACACTATCTAATGAAAATCAGAAGAATACATTAAATCTATGAACATATAAATAAAAAGTCATATTTCAACAGTGCTTTTGCATGTATCATGCGCTACAAGTCAAACTATCTTGCAATCATGGGAGGAAGATAAAAAGAAAAGAACGCAAATGATCCACAATATTTTACCCTGTCCAATAAATCAGCCCCAGGCCTTTTCTCATGCAACACATCACCAGGAGAAGGGTCAGCCATGATGTAAACCAGAAAACTGTCAATGATGGAGTTTGTTGTTGTTGTTCTGCCTCCTAGTTGTTCAACTGCTAAACACCCTGCATCTACAGAGTGAAGAGGGGGACACTGCAAAACCTTGGCATAGAATACATCATACTTTACATTATATCTATGACACAAAACGTAAATAGATTTATATATTCTTCTATGTTTAAATATATTTGTAGACTGTACACAAATCTTTAGAAAATGAGACGGCAAATGCTTTTACCTGATATTTTGAACAGCAATGGTAAATAGGCCAATGAGACATAGACCTTGTGATGCAGCCAATGAGATATAGAGATATAGAAAGTGCATTCTTTGTAGTGAGTGACTCCTTTGAAAAGAACTCTCCAGCTCTTGCATTCGCTGATAAAAGAAAAAGATGAGAAACTGAAAAAACAAAACAAAAAACCCCCAAAACGTTTTGCACCCACGCAAATACATACTCTCTGTCTTCCCTCCGCTACCTCTAGAAGCATATCACAGTGGTAGTGGAACGCAAACATTTACATCAGTATACACAGCAGTATACACATATACACAAGTCTTTGACGACTAGAGAGAGAGAGAGAGAGGAAACAAAGGAATATTAAGAGAAGGAGGAGATGACAGAAACACAGAGCAAGAGAGAGAGAGAGGTAATGAAAAGAAAGAGAGGGAATGAGAATGCAAACTGAATCATAGCTGTCAGAGGAGCCTCCTTCTGCAGATAAAATTGTGGTTGTTTTTTTTTTTTTTTGAACAGTTCACAGTTTGAAATAGTGCGCATCTAGCCAGCACAATGGTTCCTTCAATGCTCGTGACACTTGTTTTCATTGGTTCCCAGAGGAACGGCTAAAACAGATAAACCAGCATTGATGGCTACCTTTCACAGTCTTATACTAAACTCACTGCCCTTACTTTCCCCACACTGTCCCGTCGGCTCAGCCTAGAAAAACAAGTGAGGTCCCTGTAAATCAATGAGATATGCGGTGAGAGAAAACAAAAAGATAGAGAGAGAAAGGGGGAGAACTGGTGGCTCTGGGTGCAAAGTTCATCAGTACAAAAGTAGTACAGTGCTGTGGTGAAAAGGATTCTCCTCTGTATTGCTGCTACATAGCTCCCCCTGACCCCTTAAATAAACAGGAAAAAATAGCAAAACCGAGAGAATACAAAGGAACGAACATGTTAAAAAGTCCTCCTTTTTTTCCATTTTGCTCGACAAGCGTGTGGAGTTTATGCTGAGTTCCATAGACAAAGGAAGATTAATGCTTTCTGTTCAGGCATGCAATAGGCACCCTGTGGGGTCCTCAGGATTATCAAAAGTTCGTACACGCAGGTCTCAGACTGTTCCCTCTATGATATTTACACATCTTACAATGTGTGTTCCTGTGTGTGTGCGTGTTTGTGTGAGTGCGTGCTCAGAGTCGTGATCAAGAGAGAGGATTCAGCTAATGGAAAGCTCCCAGTGTGTGTGTGCGTGCGTGTGTGTGCGTGCATCAGTTCAGTCTTTGCTTCTTCTTCTCTTTCTCACACATGTGTCTCAATGAAGGAGTGTGTGTGGGTCATGAGAGGTGCGGCCAGCGGGGAGAGGTCGTCCTGGCCGTTGGTGCCCGGACTGAGCTGGCAGATGTCTGAGTAGAGCTCGCTGTGCCACTGCTTCCACTCTCTGAAGGTCTGGGAGCACAGGCCAGGGTCCTCCAGGAGCGCACATATTACTGCCAGCTCGGACTCTTTGGCCTGGGGGAGCAAAGAGACACCGGGGAGTTACCGCATTGATTCCTCAAACATCTAATTCTTCTTTAAATCCCCCAAATCTTCTGTTTGTGGTACCTTCAAGGTGCTGCGGAGGGCTCGGACCCGGTGAAGTCTGTCATTGAGCAGGGGGTCCCTGGCTCTCTGGGTGAAACAACGTCGAAGCTCCTGCCTGCTACAGGGTCTTGGGTCTCCTAGGGCTGTCACGTTGGCTTGCTCCAGGGCCCGGTACAGCTGCTCTAGCCCGTCCAACAGCTCCGGCTCACGGCCCTCTGACACCCGCCGCTCCCTTCCCTCCGACACCCTCCTTTCTCTGCTCTCAACTCTCAACTCCCGCAGGTCTGAGACACCCAGGAGAGGAGTCAGATTCACTGCTAGAATGACACAACAAACTCCATTTGAATATACGGTCATTTGTTCTTTATAGAGCTGAAAAAAATAGTTGATTAATTAATTTGTTGATTGACATAAATTAATTATCTTGATAATCGATTTACTATTTTTTCAGAAAAAAAAAATTCACAGTTAACCTCTAAAATGTAAATATTTGCTGGTTTTCTTAGCTTCCTATGATAGTAAATTGGCTACTCTGGGATTTTGGACTGTTGACGGTTGCTGGTAGAACAAAACAAGCAATACAAGAGGTCAAATTGGGCTTGAGCTACTATTTTATAGACCGAAAGGTTAATCAATTAATCGAGAACTAATCCGCTGATGCTGATATTTGATTATTATTATTATAATTGATAAAAATAATTAAAAAAAATAATCAATTAATTAAATTAAGTAAAAGCTTTTTTTCAGTCCTATTTCCTCAACAAAATAAACATCTTACTAAAAAATTAAGTCCTAATTCATGTATAATTCATGTGAATAAAATCAATAATTTATTGTCCATCCCTATTTAAGATCTATCTATCTATCTATCTCTCTCTCTCTCTCTCTCTCTCTCTCTCTCTCTCTCTCTCTCTATATATATATATATATATATATATATATATATATTATCTGCTGCTATATATTCACTTGTCCTTTTTGGTTCACCATAATAATTCTTAATAATGTAAATATTGTACATACCCACACACCTTTATATTTGTCTTTATTTTTTATATTTATACTATTATATTTATTTACTCTTTATCTATCTACCTTTGACAAGTGCAATTGTGACAAAAGAATTTCCCCTTGGGGATCAATAAAGTATTTCAGATTCTGATATATATATATATAGTAAGCTTAGGATAAGAATGGAAAAAATGTCCTTGCACCAGGCCCTTTGTTTGTACAATCGAACAATCAGTGCTTTCCAAACAATTTGGTTTGTTCCACCTCAATCCAAATACTTTTGTGACAGAGGTCACCATAGATTAATTTTCCCTGCTCAGACTGGTTCATTTCAATCATTTTTGGAGGCCTTAAGAGGTAAAGGTACAAGGTAGGTTTAATGTTTAATGTGGTTTGTAACTCCCTTTTGTATAATTGTTACAATATACAGTAACAAAAACATTCATAGAATGGTAAACACAAGCAATCTATAAACTATATTCCATGGAGCACTGCTGAAACCACAAGAAAAAAGCATAGATTAGAGAAAAGTCCCCAACTAACCTAATTTTTTCTAATTAACCAACACCCTAAATGCAATGGTGGATTGTAACTCTGTAAAAGTACATTTACTTAAGTACTGTACTTAAAGGTTTAATGTGTAAGTTTTAGTGGCATCTAGTGGTGAGGGTTGTGAATTGCTGTTGGCTCTTGTGCTAAATAATACATATGGGCCTCCATTTGTCCAAATTTCACTTCTCTTCTTACTTCTAATAAACCAGTCAACTACTACTACTACTACTACTAACGTTACTTCTTCATACGTATTCAACGTAGTGACAAAATGCGCTCTGTAGAGCAGTTTGTCTGTTCAGGCAGCAAAACATGGCGACATCCTTGTTAAAGGACCCACAGTGTATGTAGATACAAATGGCACATTCAAAGGGAATACAAATATAATGGTGGGGTTGGGAGTGTTACTTTAAAAATGAAATCTGGTACAATTACTAATTACTTGTTTATCCAAGTACCACAAAATAAAAGTAATGTTACTTTTGGATTACTTCAATACTAAAATACGCAAATAAAGACAAGAGGGTATCAAAGATGCAGTGTCTGCTCAGTGTATTTTTAGAGAAATATACAATTATAAAATATCCCATTCCATCCATCCATCCATCATCATCATCAACCGCTTATCCTGCGTACAGGGTCGCAGAGGGCTGGAGCCAATCCCAGCTGACAGGCAGGGTACACCCTGGACAGGTTGCCAGTCCATCGCAGGGCCACACATAGACAAACAACCACTAACACTCACATTCACACCTAATGGCAATTTTGGAGTCCCCAATTAACCTAGCCTGCATGTCTGTGGATGATGGGAGGAACCCAGAGCACCCAGAGAGGACCTACGTGGACACGGGGAGAACATGCAAACGACCTTCTCGCTGTGAGGCGCAGGTCTCAGACTGTTGTTTAGGCCTAAATGTTTTATACCATATGCCTTGCATTAGGGATGATTGCGGGGAGCGTTGACAGGCAAGCAGGCAACAAAACTGCTTTCAGCACCCTCCCAGTGAAGGCAACATGAACAGGTCCGAACACAGTCTCATTAGTTGACTCAGCCCCAGGGTGACAAGTGCCAAACCCGGGATGAAAACCACTTTCATACTGTATCCTCAGTGGTCAAACTGGCCTCTGTGCTTGGGTCCGGCTGCCGTGTCCACTCACTGGGAGCTGGAATCAGTCTGTACAGAGTCGGCATGACGGGGTGGGGGCGTAACATACATTTAACTCAATTCAGATATACGGCGATCAATATCTGCGACAAATCCCTCATTGGCTGTGTGTTTTTATAGGAAACAAAGAGCACTCCGCTTTCCGCTTAATGGAAACTTTGTGTGTAATCCCTGTGTGTATCCCCGTTTTTACAAAATGCACCTGTAATCTGATTACGTCTTTATTTTCTGTACTGTAACGGAATACAGTTACTTTATTTTTGTATCCGGAATACTTAACGCTGTTACATGTAATCCGTTACTCCCCAGCCCTGCATAACTGTTCATCATGTAAGTTCTTTATATACCACTGAAAACATAGTTGTGGATATTGTATTACATTTATGTCAATGGACAGATTTGTCTCCTAAATATTACACAATGGACAATTAAGTAAAATTCTAAATTTCTTTACAAAAGCGTTTCCATTATATGCCACTTTATGATTCTACTTCACTACAATTCAGAGGGAAATTTTGTACTGATTTTTATTTGACAGCTAGTAATTAAAGTTTACAGATTAACCCATGCGCCTTGATGACATGATCTTTTTTTCTCATTGTTTCTTATACTATATATGTAAAATTTATATCTAATTGCTAATTTAACATTGTTATCCCCTCTGCATACAATTTTGCTTTTGATCTGATGTTATTAAAAAGGTAGTGAAGGCGTAATCTTTGCAAACTGGGCTTGGACATTTGATGAAGGTATTGAAATACAGGAATTCTCCCACAACAGCGTTATCATATCAAATTAGGAAATATTCTATTTTTATTTTATTTTATGTAGGCTATGTATGACCAAAAATATTTTCTTTTTTGCAAAAAGGTAATTTATAGATAAAAAGCAAAGCTCCCTTTTATAGTTCTTATACACAAACGGTTATAAAACTTCAATAACAGAGATCCTAATGAGAAATATTTGGGTTTTGGGAGGGATAGTGCTGAATGAAACAGATACACGGTAGACAAGACAAACATCCATTGGATTTAACCTTTCCAGTTGGGGTCTCTGAGACCCAAAACAGTAGCAGACTTCCGATTATTTGAATCTTTCTAAATCCTGTGGTACACTTCTCCCCCGATACCCTGTTTACCTTTGACTTTCTGATTTTACAGCAAAGTTAACATGCAATACCTTCGGTTCTGAGATAATACAGTCTTTAATTAAGGAAATCATCATGTACAGCACAATACTTTTAATTATTACTAATTTGCTACTTAAAAGTCTATTCCTCTGAAGACCAGAGAGACTTTTTTCATGTACATCTCTGAAAGCTTTTCTCCCTGTATAAAACAGAACTGATGTGTAACTTCCTTACCCTCCTCCCCCTGCAGAATATCTGCAGCCTGTCCCTCCGCCTCCTCGTCCTCGCTCCTCTCCTCCATATGAGCTGAGGTGTGTAACAGCTTCCCTGGCATCGGGTCCCTGTTCCTGGGCAGACTCTGGCTGCGTTGCTTGTGAGACCGTCGGTGTGCGTGACTGTGTGTGTGTGGACCTCGCTCCAGAGGGAAGGGCCCGTCTCGCTCCCTGTCCCTCTCTGCGGCGTGGTGTCTCCGCACGGGCAGCGTGGCCTGCCTGCGTCTCTCTGGGGACATGCTCTGTCGGCCCAGCCCTCCGTACAGCCCCATCTCTCCAGCCATGCTCCCCATAAGGCCTCCATAATCGCTCTCCCCCGGCGCAGTCTGGAGAAAGTGCAGCCCTGCGCTGGTCAGAGGGGTCTCAATGAGGTCCTGCCAGGACCGACGCTCACGATGGGAAGAACGGCAGCCTGATGAGTGGGTACTTGTGCTGCCTGTCCCAGTCCCCATGCCCATCCCGTCTCCACGCTGGTCCTCGGCCGAGGAGTGGGAGTGTGTGGACTCGCTGGAGAAATGTCGGCCGTGCTTGGGCTCCGGGAAGGGGCTTGAGGAATTGACCTGGAGAGGGAGAGGGGAGGTGGAAGAGACCATCTGTGGAGGGATGGGGGAGGTGGAGGCACTCATTGGTAGAGGGAGTGGGGACGGAGTGGAGCGCATGAGGCTCATGGAGCTGACCGAGCGGGGCAACTGGTCATAACTGTGAAGGAGGTTAGCCTGAAGGGCCGAGGGGTTGTGAGGTTGACGGGGTTGGTTAGGAAAGAGAGGCGTGAGGAGGGACAGATAGTTCATAGGGCAGAAATGTGAGCACGGATACAAGGAAAATGTGCCCCGCAAAGCAAGGAGAAGGAGGAGGTGTTGCAAGGAAAGCACAACAGGATAGTGTAAAGAGCAGAAAAAGACCAAAAGATGAGAGCAAAAAAAGCAATGAGATGGCAGTTGAGTAACTCCAGGAATGACTGACATGACTGTATGTATGGCAGCTCAGCTGTGAAAACATGGCTGAACATGAAAGCAAACTTCACTGTTCACATTATCTTTCATGGCAACTGTCGCCACCTAGAGGTCAGATTGTAAACAAGTTCTGGCAGCAGAACACAGAGGAGTGATGGTCTTGGCTGCTTACCGAACCAGAGTCTTTCACACTCTGATGTTTTATTAATGCTGAGAGTCTCTGCTCTATGCAGCTCTGAAAACTGTAAGGCTTTTAGGAATAAAATATTCTATCAGAATGAAACACTGCAAAGAAAATGTTGAGTGTGTATGTGTGTGTACTTACTGATGGTGTGCGGTGATAAGTATCACAGAGGGATGAGGGTCCCTCCTGTTTGAGCGTCATTGAGCCATCTACCTCGTCTTGATCACTCTCACTCCAGTAGTCTTTTTATTTCAATAAAAACAGACACAAACACACGTACATGTTAGCAGTCCATGATTGGAATGGTAAAGTCGGCCATTTGTAGCCAAGTGAATCCGTCTCACCTTCATCCGGGCGTGGCACCTTGTCGTCTGGGGTGTAGCCAATAGCAGCTAGCCCCAGCCGGTTCATCCACCTAGAGGAAGCAAGGGAAGAGAAAAAGAAGAATGCAAAGGGGAGGGATGAAAAGCAAGGAGAAGGAAGGCATTGGAGGAAAGATGAGAAAAGGAGCGAAGGATGGGTTTTACTGGGTAAATGGTGGGTGATGAATAAAAAAACTTTCCCTTTAAATAATTTAAATGGTGTCTCTTAACACTTGATATCTGTCTAACTGGCTCCATCCCCCTGATGAGTAGAAAAAAGCGTTGAGATAATTAGAGAGATGGATGCAGAAAAAGAGAAATGACAATCCCACGTCCCCTTCTCTCTCAACAGTGAGTCTCAGATGGCGTTCTTTCTCCTCATCTGCGCTTCCTGTCCTCCTCCCATCCTCTCTGTCTGTCTCCATTGCAGATGCCGACTTGTCCTGTAGCTCTCTGCAGACACCTAATAATAAGGTCACTGCTAAGAATAGAGGCCTAGTCTGTGCATGAGGAACAGGACCTCGTCATACTAGGAAGTGCATCCTACAGGAAGCAACTTCCATATTAAGATTAGAAAGTCCTATTTAAAGACCAAAACTTAGCATGAATTGATCCTACTAACATGTATCGCCTCTGTAGCCAAAGGCTGAGCTCCACTGTTGTCCCTAAAACCATTAAAATCATCAAACAACAGCATCAGTGAGCCACACTGTTGCACTGGGTGACGTGTTCTTTCGTGAAGATGAACATGGGCACTGTATTTTACTTTGAGTCAATCCTACATTCACAGTTCTGTTTCCAGATATAAGTACTAGCACGTAGTAGTCCCCAACAAATGTGCCATTTCCTCCTGCTTGAGTAATGTTTGCTAAAAACTACAGGACACCAGCTGCTGTAGGATATCACTGAGCATTTTAAAGAAAATAAAACCTATTTTTGTGCGTGATTTTTAAAGATTTACATCTTCATTAGAGACCAATGGGCCAGGTGATGAGAACCACACACAGGGAAGTGAGAAAGTATTGAGAGATTGAGCAACATGGCTGATTTTAGTATTTTCATGGGATTTGCTGTGAATATGAAAATTTTTTGAATTAACGTCACCCTTATCTCAGTCAATTTGGCTTGTGATAATCTACACAGGCTATTGTTGTGCTCTTAGTTATAGCCTGTTTTCACCTTTCCCGGGGCACCAGGAACCTTTTTTAGGAACTCAGGAACTTTATCTGTGTTTCGACCAAAGGAGCCAGTCTCTACATTCAGTTCTTAGGTTAGCCTACTCCTAAAACCCTTCCGACTCGGGCAATAGTATTTTCAAATGATCCAGGAACTATCTGGGTGGGGCTTGCAGCACTGAACGCTGCTTATTGGTCAAATTTGCTGGCATTTTCTACAGCATTTTTCAACAGTGTATTACTCTAACACTACTATGTGATTGCCTCTGGAAGCTAAGACTATCCAGATGTTAAGTGCACCAAAAAGTATTGATACATTTTTCAGACAAAAGGACATTTGTCTGCTGCCTACACCAACACCCATGTATTCACACACAAATGCATGTAAAAATGTGTGCAACCACGCTTTCCCACATGAACTGGCAAACACAGTATGGAAGTCAAATATAGCTGGTTAATTAATCTCCCCCAATTATCGCCCCGTGTCATTGAGGAGAGGTGTGGATAATTAGAACTCATCAAGATGGCGCTCCTGCAAATATCACCATGATCTCCTTCTCACACAAGCACACACGTGACACACACACACACACACACACGCACAGTTCTACATTTAACACCAGAGGGTCAGGTTCATGCCTTATTCATGCGCAGTGTTGTGTGGGCTGTTGTTGTTCTTGTGTAAACTTGGTTTACTCAGTTAAAATATTCATGAAAGAACACATGATGTCCCCTGCATCTGACTATTGTCCACATTAAGACACAAGCACAGAGACTCACAGAGACACCCACTCACTCACCTGTTCATTTCCTCAAGACAATCTGTGGCAAAGAAGAAGCTCTTGATTTTGGGATGACAGGCTTTGAAGGCACTGCAGTTAGTCAGGGAGAAGGAGACTGATTAGTGTTTTCGCCTATGCGCGGTAGGTTTGTATGCGTTCGTGTTGTGTGGGTGAGAGCAAATGTGCTTGATTAGTAATTCTGGCGGCATGTGAGGGACACTCACAATTTCCTTCTGCACTCTATGGCTCGGTCTATTCTGAACTCTGGGAGGCTGATGAAGCCCTCAGCCTTCTCATCCTGCAGGCAGAGACAGATGGAGAGTGTTGGTACATCATCAACACAGAGAACAAAATGTCATACAAACTGATATACCAATTCTATTTGGGATAGTAGTACTGTCGTAAAGCATATGAAAACAGCATATGTTGTTTACAGTATATTGGCTGAGATAAACTCCTTTCACCACCTGACATAAAAGGATAGATGAGATATGACTATCCTGAGTACACAGACTCACATTTACAGTTAATTTTGGGTCAGAGTAAATTGTTCTTTTCTTCATAATATTACAAATATTCCAATAATCTATTGATCCAAACATCTATACCCTATCTTCAAGTCTTACAGTGAGATTTGTGTTTGTATGAGGTCAAAATGCTCTAAATGCACTGGACAGATCAACTACTTTGAATTAGAGCTGTAACCGACAGAAAATTAATCACCAACTATTTAGATCACTGCATTGTTTAAGTCAACCAAAATCAAAAAGCTAAAGCTAAAGCTTTGTCCTCTTCTTTCATAATATATTTTGTTCACTTTTCTGATGTTTTGTAGACCAAATGATTAATTGATTAATCCAGAAAATAACTGGCAGAAATGAGTGTTAGTTGCAACATTCCCTGGTGATGAAAGCTGAAAGCACAAATGCAAGAATTGTGATTTTACATAAAAACAGATTCTGAGTGATGAAAAGCAACACTGAATAGATTCCACACATATAACTATTATTAACTAATATTCCCAAAACTAACAACATTTTTCTACAATTTATTTCATCATGAGATTAATTGATAACACTTACCAGCAAAAATATTTCTAAAATAACTTGGAAAATTAACTTATAAATGTTGCATTGTAACATTTATTCTTAATGTCTTGTTGTGATGTGTTGTTTTCTCACCTGGAATGGGGACATCATAATTACAGGGTCATTTTTGTTTTCAATTGTTTTAAAAGGGGTACACAATTTAGTATTACGCTTTTTTAAAGAATGGTCAAACTTGAAGGAGTCCCTGTGAGTCTAGATCCTACAATTCCCATTGTCAATCTTTGTCATCTTTCAAAGTCAATTGGCCTCATGCAAGAACCACTCGTACAAACAGATTTGTTGTACAAGTGATTAAAATTTTCTTTTAGGCATGAACATACTTTATGGTGCAGATCTGTCCTAGGAGTCATGTTCAATTAATATGCTGTTATTCCAACCTAAGATTTTCGCTAATGGTTTATGTATTTCATTTCTTTGAAGCAATTTTGAGTTTGAAAATCAAATCCAGTATATTAAAATACAGTATATAAATAACACAATTATGTTGACAGTATCCTGTTTGATTCTGCAATTTGAATTATAATATATTTCTAAATGTATTCATACAGCCTAACAATAGCATCCATTTAAATTGGCTAAATATTAATATGAACATCTCAAACTGCAAATTTACTTAAATTATAAAGTAACTGAATGTTAATGTTATGGTTTTAGGGTTTTGGTGTTAGTCTTTTGTTGTGGTTATGTTGGTTAGTCCTCCTTCTGATGTCTTTCATATTTCACTTCCTGTATCTGTGTGGTCTCATCTGTCTGTTGTGTTTTCTCTATGTCATTTGTTCATTCATTCTGTTTCCTGTTTTACTTTGAATTTGTTCTGTCCTTGGTGTTTGTCATTATGTCCACCCTTCCTGGTGTATTTAGTTGGGCTGCACTTTTCATTCGTTGCGTGTTCATTGTTCCACTCATATTAGATATTGAACTGTTTGTCTCTGGTATCATTGTGTTTTGTTTGTGGTTTAGATTACCACAGGATGTGCTTCTATGAACATGCAACTTGTTAGATCTGCAACTCTTCGAGACTTGTCAACACGACAGACATGCCGATCCAACCCTATTCCACCAAATGTCCAGGTACTCGCCACAATCAGATACCTGGCTCTAGGACCTTTCTAAAGGGAGATAGGAGTCAGATCTCATGGTCATTAAAGCCCTCATCAGATTATCACCCATGTACATCAAATTTCTGTACACTTTCATGCCATTACTGGACTACCCAACATCGTAGGCGCAATAGACTGTCCATATGTACTCATCAAAGCGCCTTCCACTGATGCATTCCCCTTCCTCAATCGCAAGCAGTATCACTCCATCAACATCTAAATTTAATCAGATGCAAGATACAACTCGCTAAAGGCCGTTGTCTGATGGCCTGGGGCCATCCTTTGTTCTGCAGAATAGTGTGGTTGGGACGTGTCTTGTGCAATGTGCCCGTAGAGATGGCTGGCTTATTGGCAAGTGGCTTGTCATTTTCTAGGGCTGGACTATATGGCCAAAAATGTTTTTACGTTTTTGCAAAAAAGTTTTATTTCTTTCGATATAGATAAAATCACGATACAGGTGTATTGAATTGTTATTTCTTTCGAGTTTAAAGGCTGATTTTTGGTCAACACTTGATGGCAAACACAGTGGATCACTTCACAAATCTGAGGTGGAACATTCAAAACAATTGATTCAAGTGAACAGAATAAAATATTTATTTTTATAATATTTTATTTTTGTTATTGAAAAAAAGTATATCACGATAATTTTCTCCAGGTGATTGAGGTAGTGCTCCCTGGCTCATGACACCTCTAGTCAATCCACAGAGTAGACAAGCTCATACAACGAGTGTCACACGAGCGTCATACAATGAGCGTCATACAATGAGCGTCATACAACGCACATGTGCTGTGGTAGAATACACAATTGGAATTTTGAAGGCCAAGTGGATGTGCCTCGACACAGCTGGTGGCAAGCTGCTCTACACTCCAGAGAAGGCATGTCAGATTATTTTAGTATGCTGTATATTGCATAATACTGCAATGAATGAAGGCGTTCCAATACCATCCAGCACCTCCAGAGAACATGCCAGATAATCCACTACATAGACCACACCGTCAAAATGCCATCGTGATTAGGAAACAACTAATTGCGTGACTTTAGGTTAAGCTATCATGCTGTAATTAATTAATTAATTACTTTATTTAGACTAGAATTATTTTACATTTTATTGGCATCAGAATGTTTTAACACATCACTTATGCTCGCTAGGCTGTCTGACATTTTTTCTAATGTGGCACACATAGTTTGAAGACATTTCAACATTTCCTCCTGGTGTGTATAAGACACCACTTGTCTGTGTGGGAGGCGACGGTGATATGAAGCGTCAGATGGTCCTGGCTGTGGGGCAGAGTCTAACTGATCATCTTCTGAATAAAAGAAAATATTGAACATGATTGTGTGACACCTCCTTTCAAATAACTTACATTTACAACATTTTGACAAGGAAAATACAAGAGCAGGAGCAGAGGGAGACAAATCTCATTTTCTGTAAGTCCATTTTATGCCTGTTGATAATGTTATGTTGTTATATTATGACAAGTCTTTGGCTTTAGCAAGTCCCTTAATTCCACTACTGAAGCTGTTAAAAAGGATAGACTTTTCTTTATGGATCTACCCCAGCAGGACTTCAATCTCAGAGCTTGTAAAGTTGTTCTTTTTATTCTTCTGTGCCATTTTCATGAAATGAAATGTTCTTGCATGAGGCCTAATGTCCCCAATTTATATCGCAGATTTGTTGTCAAATATTTAAAGTCTCTATCCTAACTCAAAATAACCCTGATAACATTATCCAAGTTATTTTCTCAGACTTTAGAAAGCTCCCTTAAAAACAACAGAAGACATCATACAGCTGTTTTTACATGCTGAGTAATACCACGGAGAGTAGACTGACCTTTATGTGTAATAGTGGATCTTTAATTGCCCATTTATTTAAAGCTGTAATATCTGACTGCACATTAGTTTTGTTCTTGTTTTAAAAAAAACTCAATGATGAAGCATGGAGGAAGTGAGCCTGATGTAAACTAGAGGAGTTTGACAATATGATTCAGGACATAATGACAGTTGAATGTGATTCCTTACATTTTGGTTGGTGTACCAGTAAAGGCAGGACTCTTTGAGGATAAACCAGTACTTCCTCCATTTCTGGGTGAAGTAGCCTTTAGCATCCTTCTTCTTCCACAGCCAGCCCTCACAGTCACCGTGGCCCAGGTCCTTACACGAAATTCTCCTTCGACTGGCACTAGTGAGGGAACCTGCATAGAGAGAAAAGAACAGCGTTAATACTGACAGTAACTTTCAGTAATAACTTTTAGTACCTTTCAACTTTTCAGAAATGAATTAAGAAAAATACTAGGATGTAAAGTAGAAGCGTGGCCATGTATTTAGTGGTTCCAGTCTGGCACTAACAGGCTGAATCCAAATGTCTGGATTCTTTTTAAGTCTGCAGTAGCTCACAGTGGGACTTTCTTCCTGTAAATCAGCAAGCAATGTGAACTATTGAATCGCTCCAAACTAGAGAGCTTTTTACACACCTGTAAAGTAGGAGTTCAGACATTTAGGTTGATATACAGTTTGGGGGTACGCTCTTTCTGGAGCTACCTATGCTCACATACATGCACTGAACTGTAAAGATAATACATCAGAAGATCTAAAGAGCAAGTGCACCAAGGTGTTTACCTTTACTTCGCTTTTTGGTTTTCGTTCTTAGAGAGGTGTAATGGAAAGACTGGAGGGGAGAGAAAAAAAGATGTTAGGTCAAACACCCTTTGAAAAAGACATGTTCAGGCAAACTTTCTGGGTTGGTGTTGATGCATGGAGAGAGGTTGCTGCCAGCTCACTCTCCATGTATAGCTTATTTTTATTTTATCAGGAACACAGCAGAGAGGATTACAGGCACAGAGGGATCGCAACACTAAAACTGCTACAGCCAGGAAATGACCTACAACCTGTGATGGAGAACTGAAAGCTGTCTGCCACAGAGACTAAAACACTAAATGGATGTCAGGATGTTGTAAACTGCACCCATGCTGCTATTTTAGTGAATTAAAAACAGTGAAATGCATGAAAAAGGTTTATGACTTTCAGTACTTAGTTTGTGAATTAAAATTTTCCGCCCACTATATTAAAAGGCATTGGTGATGAAATCAACTCACTAAGGCCTAATTCCTTGTTGATTATAATTTCTCTGCTGTATTTATGCCAGCAGCATGACTTTTTTTCTGAAAAACAGCTACTAGGGCCGCAATGGTAATAGTGGTAAAGGTAAATGCTAAAATTTAGTGTAACAAATAACTATCAAAAGTTAGCTAACTTTAGCTAGCATGAACCACCATAAGCAACTGGTCATCCCCAGACCAACTAAATAATAGTGAATAGTAAAACTTTCATTTTCAAGAAGAATAGTGTTTTATTTGTTAGCCTTTATCTAGGTAACAATACTGAATAAATATCTAACTGAGCTGACTCATTGCATAATACAACTCATAGTGCTTTAGAGGAGAGGCTAGGGATAATGACTAACACAGCTTCCTGTGTCACAGTAACCTAAATATGGAAAGCAATTTACCTCAGTTGACTTTTATTTTTTATTTAATCATTACAGTCATGAATGGATTTAATCTCAGGCGTCTTTTCTATTCTTGTCTGGCTGTATGTTAAGCGATTATTTGGACACAATCAATCTCCATGTGTGGTTGGTAGGAGATTGTTGATGTAACTGAAGCCTCTGTTGCTTTATTGAAATGGGGTTTCAATACAGAATCAAATACTATACTGGAAAGACAGCACTGTTTAAAAGCAGGTAAATAAATATATCAGAACTGGTATGCATATATTTATAAAGTGCTTTGGGGTGGCAGTGGCGCAATGGATAAGATTGGTGTGAGAGACCCGGGTTCAATCCAACACTGTGACCCATCCACATGTATAGCAATTGTAAGTCGCTTTGGATAAAAGCATCAGCTAAATGAATAAATGAATAAATGCAAATATGTAAATGTAAATAAAACATCTAAGAAATAAACAGTCAGTGACACAGCAATGTAACAACCCATACCTTCCTCATGGAGGCTGCTCCTGAGCTTCCTGAGTATCTGCAGGAGCACAGACAGAATTCAACGTAACCACAAACGACTCTTACAACTCCTTCCATCAATCACAACCATGTGGTCAAACCACAAACAACCACTAACACAAACTCACCTTTCGGTTGTGTCTGCTCGCAGTGTGTCCGCACCTCGCTGAGTGACAGAAGAAAAAAGACTTAATTAAAGTGCTTCTAGAAACCCTCTGTACTTACATGGCCACACACAGATAGACAATGCTTGTGTGCACCTTTGTTTGTAATCATCATATCATGTTGTGTGGCTTTGCTTGTGCTGTTGTGGTGTATTTGAAAGTCAAAAAAACAACTTTGGCATATTTTTAAAATAACTAAAGTGTTACCCCCTTTACATTAAGATACTGTATAAATTTATCCATTAATTGTAGCTGTTATACTGACATTCGTGACATTTAAAAATGAGGTGACATGAGGATGATGTACAGTATATCTAACTTACTACTACTAATAATGATGATAATACATTTTGTTTAAAGAGAAAACGTTTCTTATACTCTAACTACTAAGATGCTTTATGTGACAAATTATCTAAATAAAAAAAAACAGAAAAGTGAAACACAATTTAGTACAATACTAGCAAGTAAAATAAGTACAGTTAGTATTAGTTTGTAACTTGAATGTATATAAAACTAGCCTTTTTCAACTGAGGGGCTAGTTAGAAGTGCCATGCTAACCGTATTTAGTGTTTTTTGTCACATGTTTAATAAAAAGTAGAGTAGAGTACAGGTACTAATACTGCTATTATTTTTTATTTTTTAAGCCTGTTTGAATATTCCTATGTTCAAACATTAACATTTTGGGTATTATGAAAATACTTTTGTGGCTAATCTCTGCTCTGAGTGTGGTCACAAAAAAGCTTTTTCGGATAAACAAATAGGCATAAGCTCGCGGACCCTGGGAAGGGTCTCAGGGCCTTAATCCACAGCAGGCAGGGTTTAGGCACAGGGGCCCATCATGTTATAATCCATCCATGCTGTCATTAATTTGCCATTCTGCAACACAAGTGATAACGACCTTCTCTGGATGCTAGAGATAACTTCACTGTGTCACTATGCACTACGGTTACACTACATGACTGCCAGACAAAACATGAAACGTCACAACAAATTGTCCCTCAGTAGGCCTAAGTTCCAATAAAAAATAATTATGTGTTTTCTGCAAAATGCTGGTGTATTGTGTTAATAGAAAAGATTTATACGAGAGAGAAAATGAGCAGGGCATTAAGGTCAGTGTGCTTGTTAGTGCAGGATAGTGTACTTCATGTGCCACTGAATAGATATGAGTCATCACCATGAGAAACACACAGCTGAGAGGGTTAGAGAGGGCTGGTGTTAGCTAAGCTGTTAGCGTGCTGTGTATGTGTTTTAAGCCCAGTCTGTCAGTCGAGCTTGTAATTGGTCTGGCTGATGCTGAGTCATACACCTGCTCACAGGGATACGTGTTTGGGTGTGTGTGTGTGTGTACGTGCGCGTGCAAGTGTGTGAGTTTGTCAAGAATAAACTCCTATTTAGACTCAGGCGTGTCTGAGGAGATGGGGATATTAGGATGAGTTAGGATGAGTCGTGAGATGGCTACCCTGCATACAAATGCACTCCTGTGTGCTACTGTGTGTTTGTTTCTGTATACTTGTGTGGGGTGTGTGTGTGTGTGTGTGTGTGTGTGTGTGTGTGTGTGTGTGTGGAGGGGGTGTGTGTGTACTGGCGTGTGCACGAGAGAGAATTTACAGAGGGGTGTGTCTGAGAGTGTCACTGTCTCAAAATCTGTGAAGCTGGCAGCCATGCAATGACACTGATCATCCTCACTTTTCTTTGTCTCCTCTACCTGACATAAACACACACGTAAAACTATGTGTGTGAAATTGTGAACACCGAGACCAATCCTGCAGTCACAAAGAGTTCCCCTCTAAGAGGACACAGACATAGACTGTAAGAAGAAGGAAGTTGTGTGAGTGAGTCAGGGTTACAGTCTTGTAGGTGATTTTAGTGCCACTTATAATTCTTTTTCCCAGCAGACGTTTTGACATGTCACAGTAGTTAAAGCACTGGTGTAAATAAACATAAATAATAAAATGAATAATGGCTAAATTATATTTAGCTGCTTCAGAGATATTGTCCTTGTCATAGATATAAATCCAGATTTTACATACAAAACAATATGTGATAAGGTGCTAAAATATAACACATCGTTTCCATTTTTAGCTTACAAAAAAACCCAGTGTCTAGTTGGGGCTCCTTGTCACATTTCAGATGTCTATGAGTAGTTAACAGTTCGAATAAAGAGAGATTTGCCCTCTAAACATCTCAGATGGTTTAATTTAAATAACAGTTTGAGGCCCACAGGGGTAAAATTAACCAACATTTCACAAGGAAGCAAATGTTACATAGAAGTACAAAATAGGAATACAAATTTGTGTTTCATTACTTTTTTATTGTTTTTCTTCCTCGTTTACCGCATTAGACCCATCTCGTTGACTAATCTTTTCAATGCTTATTAACTGTTGCCACTTGTATGTTGTCTGCTAAAACATGCATGCACACAATAAACAACAGTATCTAAACAAGTCACTGTGTGCAGAATTTTTAGGTGACTTTAAAGTAGAAGGCTGGAATTATTCTATATTATTATTATGTTAACAAATCACATAAAACGTCCAACCAACACTATATTAGATTATGTTTTATTCTTCGGAGTTATGTCTCACCTTTACATGCTGGCAGTTTCATTTTCACAAAGGGCTCAGTAATTTTCTAAAACATTTGGGCTCTGTAGTTTATAGCAAATGTCACTCAAACAGGTGTAAATAGTTATTTATACCTGGGGACAATTTTCAGTAAATTAATACACATTTGATGCACTGCCGAATATTTACAGCAGCAGGATGGTATATGTCGGATGGACTCAAAATAAACTGCCTATGTTGTCGATAATTAAGGAGCAAGTACAGTATCTCACAGAAGTGAGTACACCCCGCACATTTGTGTTACCTTTTGATGGCCGAGCAGGCTAACTTCCGGTTTAGCCCTCCACTAACTGGGTGTAAAATTGTATACGTGCGGCTGATATAGCCTTTTAGAATGTTATCGACCGAATGGATGACATTCGGTCGATAACATGAAGGAAAAAGATGAGCAGATGATTATATATATAGAATAGAGAGCAGCTGAAACTCACATAAATGATATAAATGATAAAATTCACTTTAAAAACCCAGTTTAAGAGCTGTGTACGTACAGGCAAAGGATCAGGTGGCTGATCTAGGCGCAGAGTGGAGGACAGCATGGAGGGGCTAATGGGAAAGCTAGGGCTGCTGGGATTGCGGCTCTTGCGCCGAGAACGTCTGGTGGAATCCCGCCGACTCTCTCTGCCCGGACCCTCGGGCTCCTCCTCAATCACCAGGATCTTGTCGTCGCTAAGGTAACGCAGCAGGGAGTTGTCTGAATCTGTTGGGATGAAGGGAGGTAGAGGGATGGAGCAGTTAGAGGATGGACAGGCTCAAGAGAACGGATGACAGAGGGAGGAAAACCACTGCGTAGATAGCGTTGTGGAGTCGAGGAAAACCCCAGAGTAGAAACAGATGAGGGTGAATAAACCCTTACAGATAAAAACCCAATAGAAAGGGATGAAAGTGCCGCAGAGCTGGAGTATCTGATATGGATCCACAGCTGGGGACATACAGCTAATCTGTTTGCAATGATTATGCTGATTTGGAGGGCACTACTGCTAAATCTTGTCGGTCACAGAAAGTTTTATTTCGCGTTTGCTCCAGATAGAAAAAAAGCTTCTCACCTAATTTGTTTACTATCCATACACTTGAATGTGAAAAAATAAAACAGTGACTGAGAGAGAGAGAAGGAGAAGGAGGAAGGCAGATCCCCTGACAGTGGTATTGTGCTTTAATGTTATTCATGGACTTTCTGATGGTAGAGTGAAGGAACCTCGGTCGAATACAGATCAAGTCTCCCCGCAAAACGGTGAAGCCGGTAAGTATTGGTCACATAGAAATACCCTCATTTCCAGAACAGCTGTATAAATGCAATTTCCTTGCATTTATGTTTATTTGTCACTCTGTCGGATACATACCTGGCAGATATGTATCCTCACACAACCACACCACCATGGATAACCAGAGGATGAGCTGAAATGCGTTGAGCCGAGTATGGAGCAAAGCACGGCACCAGTACGACCCGTTTGTGTTGTGTGTGAGGGGCTGTGTTTTTGAGTGCATGTGTGTTTGTGTGTGTGTGTACCTCGGCTCCCTCTCTTGCCCAAGCTGGGTTCCTTGGCCTCGGCCATCCAGTTATATTCGGGAGGCATGGAAACAGGCCTGAGGTCACCTGGAACGACCAATCAGTAATCAGAGAGTCGCCTAGGGGGGCGGGGTAGTGGGGGTGTCGCAGGAAGGTGGTGACTGAGAGACAGCGTGGGAGACAGCTGGAGGGGTGGACAGGATAAGACAAAGTGTGTGCAGGTGAGGGGGACAGGACGGGAGACTCGAGGGACTGCTATGACGCGCAAGGCAAATGACACAAGGCCTGTTAGGCAAGTTAGTTTTATATTCGCAGCAGAGCACAGTAGAGGTTTTTATAAAAGTGGTTACATTTGAAATGATTATTGATTGAGATACTGTTTTGTGTTAGAGCTGTGCCTTTTGTTAGAGTTGGTGATATTGGACAAAAATTGTGATAGGACTATAATACAGAAATTAGAAAGTAACTGGTGTCAAAAGTATCCTTAAAAGCGGCATTGATTGATTTTTGCCAGCACGGAAGCAGAATAAGCTGAAAACTCAATCTAATATCACATTATAAAGTTGTTACGGTGAACGAGGTAGCAAACAATTGCCTATTTAAGCAGACACAGCAGACACAGAGCAACATTAGCATTTATTTGAAGTCTGTTTTGTTCCCTACCAGCTCCTGAAGGAACTATCTGGCTCTTTAGCAGCTAAATTCTCACTATGTTCACCAGCTAGTTGTACCTTTTTGCCGTTTGCTGCTGGGCATGTAGCTTAAAGTCGGGTAAAAGGGTATTTTTATTAAAACTGCTGCCTGCTGTATCTGAAGTGTCGAGTTTGTGGCTGGAAAACCAAAACGATGAGCAAAAAGAGGCTAAAAATCTCAGTAGACTTGTACAGAATCAGGAGCGGGTGATAATTTTCTGCAAGGCTGGTCGTGACTTGTGAGTGACCCCTTTTGCATAATACATTGTCACTGACCCGTTGTTAATACAAAAACACTGATTAGGTTGGCTTTAAATGTGGTTAATTAAATATAGGTGACTTGTCCAGTTGTGTTGGTTGCTACTTCAGTGATGGTAGCGTTACAGTACAAGTAGCCTATAGCTAGCAAGGCGACCATAAAATAGTCTTACGATGCACATGACCCTTGCCCTGCCCATCATAGGCCCCTTGAGAGTCTCCTAAAAAGGTAAAGGATGTCTAGGAAGTTGTCTTGGACAAGGGTGACACAGGTGGTGGGGCAGACAGGGAGCAGGGTGCTAGAGACGTGGCGTGTGATCAGTGTTTTTGTGAGGTGTGCACGCGAGGTAAGGACACAAAGAAGCAGAGCCATGAAGTGAGTGATGAACACATAAGGAGGAGCTGTGAGAAAAAGGTGAGAAAACGGTGGGAGAGAACATGCTGTTCTACTGAACAAACACAGGGCCACAGCCATGACTGCCCCATTCCCGCTGTTGATTTGCGCTCTCCGTCTTACCATGGGTGGGGGTCTTGTCCCGCCGGCGAACCCCTGTATTGCGACCCCTGTCATAGTCAGGCCCAGGGGGTCCGTCTCCCTCTAGCAGGGAGAAGAACTGACCGCTGTCCTGGTCCAGGTAGTAGCTGACTGCCTCAGAACCTTTGGAGCCCGACTGGGAGCTCACGCTGTAGCGGCTGATGTCGTCGCATGACATCATACCCAGCTCCTCCCTGGGGGGGAGCAGAGTTGTCATCATCACTATCATCAGCACCATCATCGCTGTCATCAGCTGGATCATAATAATCAGCGTAATCACCACCATCAAACATCTGTGTGTGCAAGCGCCTGACCTGGTGCTGTAGAGTCCAGACACAGGAGAGAGGATATACACGTCCTGCATGCTGGGAGCGTCCATTTTGGACATGCCCAAAGTTCCACCGGGTGTAGGGGAGGTGCTGGTGGGGCTGGTGGGGATTGGCTGAAGGGAGAAAGAGGAGAGAAAGAAAGAGAGAATGACTATTTGAGCACCTTTTTAATGAATTATAATAAGATGGTGAGGGGACCTCGGAGCACAACATGCTAAAAATGAGCATCAGATCTTTTCCTGCTTCACAGAAAAAACAAACAAAGCACACAGTTAATGGAAAAGGAACTTTTTTATTTGTAATTCCTTCCTTGTACTGAAGCCTGCACTCATTTTAACACTGAATTACAAACAAGAGAGTTATTTCCTCAAAGCTGCCATGTTGTGCATGTTGTCTCTTTTTTTATATCCGTCTGACTGTGCAGCCTCTCCCACGTTCAATCGCTTTCGCTATTCTGTCATTTTGTCTCAAGCCTCTTCACTCACACAGGGCTCTCCATGTCTGTTCCCATGACAACCCCTCCTCTCCTCTCCTCTCCTCTCCTCTCTTCTCCTTTCCCCGCTCTTCCTCTGTCCTCACCCCTCTTCCGTGGTACAAGAGAAGGAGAGGACAGAGGAAAGCTAGCGTGGCCTCCTACCTCTGCTTAACTCAAGGACATGTAGATTCATTTGTCATCAAGTTCTCCGTGAGGACAGGATGCCACGCTTCTGATGTCATGGAAACTCAGGCCAAATTTCAAGTGAATTATATTTGTTCTCCGCCGGAACAGCTGGGGTGACAAACGCGCAGCTCATGCATACAATTTCTCCCCGAGGAAGAGTGTTCCAGGTTTTGAAAAATGAGGTGTTTTACTGTATGTCTGAGGAGGATGCTCCATTTTAGAGAGAAGATGGGAGTGTGGACAGAATGGATAAACAGACAGAGAGCCTAAGTGATGGCGAGGCGGGCAACGCTCTCATTAAGGAAGCCCACTGTTTCATCATTTCATCAGCAGTGCATTAGGCAAATTCATTTCATATTCCAAACTTTCCATCCTCCTCTACCCCCCTCCTTGCTACCTCCATCCCCGGGCCCTGTCTCTATCTTCATCTCTTTCTCTCTCACCGTCCTCCTCTTAAGAAGGCAGCTTACAGTAAGACGGCTTCACAATAAATAATGAAGACGGGGTGGAAAGAGAGGGACGTGAGAGCAAAGGAAATAGGACAAAGGGAGAGAGAGACAGAGGGAAAGAGTACAGGAGAGGGAGAGCGAGGAGGGGGAGCTGTGCAGTGTGGTGACTGGAGCTGAGAGTGAAAACAGTAATTTAGTGATTACAGCCCACTGCTGCCTGCATGGAAAAGAGGGGTGGGGGGGGGGTAGAAGTAGAGAGAAATGGGACCTTCACAGCAGGCGCAATTCCAGTCTGTTAAAACATCGCTTAAACCATTTGAACTCTGCTGTGTCCACTCCAAACTACTCAAAAAATCTACTGCTCAAACTTTCCCCAGACCAATATTCCCCATCGCACCACCATCCATGCGCACATGCAAACTCACAACACATACTATAATATGCTTAACTTGATATTTTGACTATGTAAGGGGCTAAAAAAAAAAACAACACAGCAGGAAAAGCAGAGGCGTTAATAATAATATTAATATTAACAATGGCTCTATTCAAGTGTCCCGGTAAGTCATAACAGTGTGACAGTGAGCCAGCATACACACTACCTTGGAAATTAAGTAGGTAAACGGAATTCAGCCATAATTAATTTCATCATTTACACCCATGCTTTTCTCACTGTGACACGTCTGCTGTCAAAACTTTTTTTATATTAAATCTAAGCTTAGTATGAATTGGAGCCTGGCTGACAGCAATATGAATTTGTGTTAGTTTAACAAATCAGATAATGATATAGCTGTCAAAACAAAAACAAACACTTTTGCATACCTTAGATTAGATTACCTTAGTTCTCATATAATTGTGAATAGCTACAAGAACCAACATCATCTAACCATATGTTCTGCTGATAAAGACCGTGGGATATGATCTGGTAGTTGGAGAAACAGCTACTAAATGGATATTCAGGTGACATTGTTTTTTAAGCAGTTATTGTTACATTTACTGTTATGGAGTAGTTTATCATGATAAAGATTTTAGATCAAACTTTTATATTTGAAATAATCTTTGAAGAGACTTTAAGTTGCTTTAGATGTCACAAAAGTAGACCAAAAGAAGATACTGTAGGTAAGACATCAAAGATGCTATAACCCCTCACCCATTCATCTGGCCTATTAGTAATGCATAACTCAATACCAATAGCCAATACATGTTGCCCAAAATAGCATGCATGTTCAAAGGTTAATTATTTATGTATCTAATAATACATTTATGGAAGCAGGGTTGTGGATAATGTGTGGCACGTGTGACACTGTGATGTGGACACTGATGGGACCTCCAGTCACGCATGAAATGACTCCCTGCATGCACATTTTGAGGCAGACAACAATGCATACAATATGCAGTCTCACTCTAATCCTCAGTTTATCTGTTAAAATCATTGCCAGCATCATCATTCTAACTGATGGCTCAGACAATTTCTTTTACTCAAACCTGCCACAGACGAAACAGACACACATGCACAAAAAGAAAAACAGGAAAGGGGAGAGAGAAAGAGAGAGAGATATTTGCCGTTAGTTAGTGGAATAAAAGCGGTTGCCATGGAGGGCTTTGGGGCTGGAATCACATGATCATTTGAGAGATAAATTGTTTCCTTTGTGGATTCAGCTTTAATCCAGCTGAACATTTGCCACATTTGGGCTAAACTCCACAGCCGTCCAATTCATCTCCTCTAAAACCAGGCTTAGAGGTACGAGTGTGCATACGTGTTGTAATGTGTGTTCGTGTTGGGAGCGTGTGTACGTATGTATCCTGAACTGAGCTTACGTGGTGAAGTGACCCAGTTCCTTCACCTCTCAAAGGAACAACGCGACTGATAACGGAAAACATCTCTCTTCATGCGTGCACAAACATGAACCCACAGAAACACACTTGCTTTGACACATACAGATGAACAAGCGGCCATGCTTTCGAAATGTGTGCACACCCATCGGCCCCAGTACACACACACACACACACACACACACACACACACACACACACACACACCGGCTGTTTAGTAGGATATTTTGGATTCAGTGCATTATCTCCAGTATTTGCTGAGTAGTGGCTCTTGATTCAGAGCCAGTGGAGCTGCCTGTAGTTGCTTATGAATAATTAAGAGCTCCAGTCTTTCTGAGAGAGAACAAATCTAAAACACTCCTTTCTCTTCTCCCACAGATATCTCTGCGCTCTGATCTGGGCGCTCATGGCGCGCTTGTGTCTTAGCAGCCCATCAGGGTAGAATTCCCACAATCCTCTGCTGTTGTATGCAGCAAATATAACAATAAGCTCATGGTAACAACTTAGAGCGATGATCTAACAAGGCAGCAACCTTGTTGTTACAGGCAGAGTGGGTGATGAAGTTGCAGTATGGTTATTACATGGTTTCTAGGCCATTTTAGAAACCATATCCATAAAACACTGTGAATCTGTAAGTCTCTGTAAGTCTCTCGTGTCAGCATAGATTCATATGCATACTGCTATATACTGCATTTATATGCTCACAGACATGTAGACACAAGACGTAGCTTCACAAAGCACTCAGAGAGCATCACACTAGCCCTCACCTCACCCCTACTCTATCCTTCTCAGCACATCTTCTTCTTCCTGTGCACCAAAAATGTGAGTGATCTTTCTGAAGTCTGTGTGAGTGACGGATTTACAAAGTATTTGCCCTTAAGTGAAATGTGTAGACCCGCTCAGAGCTGTAAGCTGTCAAACAATTGTTCCACGTTTTTATACATAGTGAACGTTTACTCCCTTTTTAAAATGAGATCTCCTTTGGGGCAAAGTCACAGTAAATCTGAATGTGAGTGGGAGCACGGATGGACCCTTTGGTGACCCTGTACTCTCTCCTGAGCAGGAAGTCCATGCCACAACCGTGTAAGTGCAAATATTATATATATACCCCCCCCCCCCACCACCACCAACAACTCTAATTTGGATTATCTCTAAATAAACTAATATGCTTTTGGTATGCATATTATCTCTTCAGGTGGAGGATTGGCTACCAACACATTTGTGAATGGCTTTGAACTGTGCCAGCAATATGGCAGGCTGTGAAAACCCCCCACAAGAGATTTGTTGAAATACTCAACTGGAGGATTGATGCAAGGTCAAACAGTGAACAAGTGTCCTTTGAAAATATTAGTTTAAAATGCCAGTAGGAGAACACAGAGTGTGGGCAGTAAAAAAAAAAAGCAAGAGCTGAGAGTGAGTCAAATTTTAAGCTAGAGGTACAACACAGTTCCATCCTACCTCAAAACCTTAACTGTAAGGACAACAATTGTTCAGGTATAGTACATGTATAATACTGATTGGAAGCGTGTTTGAATTTCAATTTCTTGCTCCTTTGTTAAAATTTCAAATACAGTACTATTTGGAGAGCAGCATGTCATTGAATCAGCACTTTTTAGGCCCAGGATGCGGGGAATATTTTGTTATAATACTGGAGTTAAGGCGTCCACGTGTTGCTGGTGTTTACCTGCAGACCCAGTGGTTTCCAGCGGACATTCCTGAGCAGAGCCGGGGTGGAGCTCAGGGTGTTCTGGGGCCTTTTCTTCAGCGTGAGGATGACTCCGCATGGGTCTTCTCTCAGAGCGTTGACCAGGTTCTTCAGCTGCCAGCCAACCTGAGGAGCACACACACTGGGCTATCGAAACAACGGCTACAAACCACAACCACACACACGCGCGGTAGGCTACTCGATGCACTGGGAGCAACCAAATCTGTTGAGGAAAACCACCACGCACGAAAATTAAGCTTTTTATACTGTTGCTGCAAACCACTCCATACATGTCCATATACTACCTGTTTAAAACACCTCATGCTACTATTTAACATGGAGTTACAAGGACCATATTAATTCTTTATACTGTATATAATCGATTACCTCTATTATATTTTCAGACCTGTATGTTCTGTGAATTGTGGTATAAAGTCAGACCAAACGCATGGGAAAACCACTACTACTTTTTAATGATGAAGCACCACCATGTGTCTTATAAAGAGCTTAACATTTTTCCTGAACAGTGGGGCATATAAATAAATTTATTTTATTCCTCAACAATCTTTAACAACTTTGGTGCTTAAAGTATTTGAATGAGCCCATAAAATATTTTTCTCCACAATTGGTTGCTAAATTCTTCTGAATGTGGCCTAATTGTTTCAAGTTTTTATACACCTAGCTGAAATGAATTCAGCCCTGTAATACATCGTACCTTCATGGTTATCATGTTCAGTTTTTGTTGAAACTGTTTTAGAGAGGTGTTGATTCAACGACTGCACCCTCCAAAATTTGTGGTACTGTTGTACTGTTTTGTGTAATTACGGGTGTTTCTAATATTTGGTATAGCCACATCAATACAAGTGGGGTGAACAAAATCTTAATCACACTTCTCAGTATAAAACAATACAGTTTAAGCATACGCCTGAAAGTTTCCCTGTATGGCACTACAGCAACATGATACATTTTAACAGCTATAACCTAGTTGTATGACTCAGAAAATCTGGATTCACCAGCAAATTAAAACAATTTGTGCAGCCTTGGCAGTAAGGCAAAGGTTGACAGTGGGCTTCCTAGCTTCACTATATGGTTCAGGTGATATCCAGGATAATCACAACAGACACACCTAACTGTTGCATAAAAACTCAACAAACCACTATGCCTCAGACGTGTTCCCTTTGTCCCCTCTTTACTAAACATGTTAAACTAAATATTCCTCACCAAACCAGTCATTAAACTTTGTGGCTACCAAGGCAGCAAGACACAACAACTACGCACCACACTGTCCTAGTACCACTGGTCTGAAAATCATGTTGAAATAAGGGGTGGCTTAGTAAGTATTGTAAAGTTCTAAGCAAGAGAGAGAGAGATGGTAAAAGAGAAAGAAAAGAGTAAGTGCTGACTACAGTTTTTCCTCGTGGTTCCGGCCAGCCTGTCTCCAGAGCTCTCAGCACTCGTCAGGCCATTGATTGGTTACACTGGTCTCAGCTACTGGACGTGTCCGCAGAGGCCACCTCGCTCACACACATTAACCCACACTCACCCACACACAGACAGAACTGTTTTGACCTTACTCCTGGCGTGATCTTGACCAGCCTATGTCAGCCTTTAGCAGCCAGTCTCCTGTTCTCTCTGGCCCAGTCCAGAACTCTGGGTTCAGCCAGCGTTCACCAGCACCACAAGCTGCCACGGACGTAAGTTACTAGGCTACTGTATGTTTTGTCCTGTTCTGTCAGCTCAAACAAAAGGGGGAACACAAAAGCACATTTGGATTCACCAAGACTGCGATCATTCATTTGTGATCTGATTTATCAACTGTAATTTAGAGTGACAGAAATAGGGCTAGGTATCAAACCCAACATACTGAAACGATAGTGTCTGTCTATCAAAAAACAAAAAGTAATGAGTAATATAAAAAAATTTAAAAAGTACTTTGGCTTCTTTTATTAAAGGAACAGTTCTACATTTTGGGAACTACACTTAATTTAACTTTTTTTTAAACACTAAGACGAGAAGATCAATATCGCTCTGTACGTTTAATATGAAGCTAGAGAGCATTAGCATAGAGACTGGAAGCAGGGGAAAGCAGCTAGCCTGCTCTGTCCATAGGTAAATAAAACATGCCTACAAGTACCTCTAAAGCTAATTAACATGTTATATCTTGTTTGTTTAGGATAGTTGTGTTTCCAGTCTCTATACTAAACTAAGCTAAGCTAACCCTCTCCTGGCTAAAGCTTCATATTGAATGGAGTGGTACCACTTCTAAATCTGTTCCATTCAATTTATCTGACTCCTGGCAAGAAAGTGAATGAGTGTATTTCCCAAAATGTGGACCTAATGCTTTAACAAAAGAAGCCAAAGTCCTCAAAGTGTTTTCCTTTAGCACAGCCTTTGCTAGAGTTGGGAAGGGAAATCCTGAATTAATTGAAGTGAAAGTGAACTGAACTGGACCTTGATCATGCTAAACTTCTCAACCCTTGTTAAATCCACCACAGTGTTGGACAGCACACAGTGTATGTTAACAACAAACATAAAGCCTATCCTAACCAGGCCAGTTTAGAACTGCTCTGTTATGCAAATATGGAGAAAGCAGAGGGAAAACAGGGAGAGACCTACCGAAATAGTAATAGAGTATAAACTGCTGCTGGAGAGGTTTTTCAAATCCCCGGGGTCTTCATTATTTTCCCAGATGCTATTACTTCCACGTAATTATGTTGCTCTTCAAACAATCGGTTTGTTATTTGAGCAGATGTCACATTTTACCTCAAAAGAGAAGCTAAGCTAAAAACTGCGAGTCCTGTTTTGAAGTGGGTCTCAAACAGAAGCTTATGCATAGACATGAAGGCAGCACTGTTGCTAAATACGTGGGATAGGGCTACATAATGATTCTATAATGTAATAGGATTTGTTCATTCAATATTCACCCTAATCTAATTTTTAAATATGGAGCCTCACTAGATAAACTTATCAGCCCTGATGTTGACAGAGAGTTTGCTGGTAATGTGTATCCATCTTCTCTCCTCAACAGCTCAATTTAGGTTTGAAAAAAGGTATAGTGATGTGAGACTTTCCTCTGCTGTTCGCCCCCTTACTCCCCTCCTTTTCTTTTCATCCTCTTCTTCCTCTCCCTAAAAGTCCCTCTTTCCTTCCTCCTCCCTTTTTTGCCCCACTCTCCCTGCTCAGCCTCGTCACAGCATCCCCTGGCTACTTCACCCCTTCATCCCCATCACACACACACACACACACACACACACACACACACACACACACACACACACACACACACACACACACACACACACACACACACACACACACACACACACACACACACACCTTTGTCTCCCCCTGCTTATCTCCACCCCCAGAGTGAGGGATCAGAGTGGTGAGGGTCTAGCGGTGGGAGTAATGAGGGGTTGGAGCTGAGAGCCTGGCAGGGTGCGATCTGCACTGTCACCCCGAGGAGAGAGCGGGAGAGAGATAACACGTGGCTCCCTCAAACGTCCATCAATGCCACTCCCCAGCACCTTCATGCATGCTTTCGCGTGAGCAGCATCTATCCAGACGTAAGAGGAGCACACAAAAGACGTCTACGCACAGACACAAACCTCTTCTTCCCCCCTCAGAAATCTCAAATAAACGCTGGAACAAATCGTTTGTGCCAGAGCTGACAGCACAGGCAATAGACAGCGCGCTCAATCACATGCTCTCACAAGGCACCGTTCCATTTAAAATGGCTGCCCATTTTTTGTGCTTCTGTCTGATGTGATGAGTTGAAGGCAGAAATACAACTTATTCAAGTCTGAAAGTGGAACTGGGTTCACGTTTCAAACCAGACTCCTCCTGCAGGGGTTTCTTGCGACAATGGGAACAAATTCCAGAAAGAGTGAGCTGACAATCACACTGGACTGAACAAAGGTCTTGTAACAATCGTCCTATAATCTGCTCCTGCAGCAAGTCTAATTAGCCTACATAGCGACACAGGCACAGGACAGGAAGCACCATGGCGCCAATGGTGGTGGTGGTGGTGGTGGTAGCACACATAATGTACCTTGACATCTCCTTATCATAGCACAGAATGGAGATAGTTTGCAGTGCGTTTTCAAAGTGGAAATACATGGAAAGTACATTTCCTGTAATTCTTTATGACTATCGCGTTGTGTTTAGAAGCTTTTTTACTCACCACTGTCTGGTGGTTGACTTGGATCACCTCGTCCCCTGCATGGATCTTCTTACACTGGTCTGCTGGAGACTGCGGAGGCAGAAGTTGGAGAGGAAAAGGACAATGGAAACAAACCCAGGAAATATTAAGGCATGGATTCATTGTCAGTGTGGAAGTTGAGAGCATAAATTGTGGCTGGCGGAGTGTCAAGCTTCCGAGTGAGTAAAACAAAAACTCACATTCTCTGTGGTGCCAGTGATAACGTGGAGTCCATCGTACGTCGATTTGATATACATCCCCTGAAACACAAGCACACACAGCCAGGGAGGGAGGATTCAGTACAATAGAAAGCACCCAGGATAACACAATATTTATGTTTTATATCTCTGAGTATGTGTCTATACAGATGGGTAACCAATTAAAAGACTAACTAACATGAAGTTTCTTTGCAAGAGGTGACAAAAAGCTTCCAGAACATCTTCGATAATCCTTGTGATTGATTCTTCATAGAAGTCTTTACACTGTAAACTCTACTATCTCATTGTGTGTTTTGATGGTCTAACATGTCAGTCGAAAATCTCCCACTGGTGCTCCATTGGATTGACTTTGAAGGTTGTAGTGTATGAGTGTAGACTCTCAGTTCATCTTCACCTGTACCTGAACTTTAACCTGCTGAAAACTCTTGACTTAAAACAAACACATTCAAGTCTCAAGTTTTGACTTTATGAAGTCCTGTAACAATAAATAATGAATAAGATGGCAAAAGGCAGGTGTTGCATATTTACACCTTGAATATTTAATTATTAGTCCTGTGCATTGAAGAGGCTTGGATTCAATTATGTAACAGCCTTATTAACTTTGAAAGAAAACTATTGATTAGTGCTGCTTTAAAACTGCTCTGGTGGATACGTGTGTGTCTGCTCAGCTGTGTCCTTACCAGTCCTTCACTGGGCATGATGCTGGTAAGGTGAACTACCTCCAGATGGGCTGACTGAGAGACCAGAGAGTCTGATGACAGCGAGATGATGTGGTCACATATCCCTGCTAAGGTCTTACACTGGAGATGGCACCACAGGTAATGAAACCAGAGGGGGAAAATGACAGGAAAAGAGAGAGAGTGAGTGACAAAAAGAAAAAGACAGAAAGTTATTGAGATTGGTTTTGGTCCGCGAGGGATTCTGTGACCTAGCTGGAGGAGGTGAAACAGAAATCATTTCATCAGATTGTTCCACATCGCCACTTCCATCACTCCAGCACACAAACTGTTTCCTGTCACAGTCTGTCCACAGGCATGCCCACAAGACACTGTCACAGACAGAACAACACATCACCGATACCAGCCAACCCCGGGGTGCCCAGATGACATTTTCTAAATTACAGAGCACAGATTTCATTTGGTGACATCTGTAATTTTTTATTGGAAGATAAGGGCTATTTCACGTCAGCTAAACAAAACGCGACATATTGCAGAGTGGTTATATTATCTAAGCTGTATTTTATTTTATTTTTACACTGCCCTTCAATTTCTAATGCATATTACCCATCTGAGTGCATCTGAGCAAATACGGCAAATAAAAAAGCATCACCTTGCCTTTGTTCTAAATAAACCTTGACTGTTTTTCAGGCTATTTGTCTGCTTGGTCACGCATGCAAGTTAATTTATCATCAGTAACATCTCTGCCTTCTAATCTTGGCTGACTGACTGCAGTGGGCTTACAAAGACTGTTACCCTGGTTATCCTGCCTCATTGCATTGCTGCTTAGCACATACACACACACACACACACACACACACATACAAACACACACGTATGCTGGAACGTAACAGACATACATCTAAGAGAATATACGTCGTCTACATTCACACAAGCAGCATGACAGTGATGAACCCTGCATAAAATAATCTTCTGATCTCAATCTTAATGAGCAATTACCGGATTATAGTGATGAAATGAACAGAGATGTTCAACAGACTCACACACACACACACACACACACACACACACACACACATACACACACACACATTATATAGCTCAGAGCCTATGATTCATTCAGTGTGAGAGAAAAGGTGGAGGCTCTTCAGTGAGCTGGCTATGTGATGCTGTGCTTACTCTCACACACGCATATATATATACACACCCTCCTTTTCTGGGTCAGTTATTTGAACGTTACACTGCTTGTTTAGTTTTCTGTTGATACAATAATATTATGTTCTAGTCAACGTGTACATATTACACAATGGGATACCCAGGACTGTTCATGGCATCCACAGACACCAAACAACACATTGTGATTTAAAAAACGAAAGGGGAAATAAATAGGGGAAGAGAAGAAGCAGAGTATATCTAATCCCGCCTATAGAGCCATAAATAATGTGTGAAGTCTCCAGCTGGAAACCACAGCAAGTGACAATGTTCTGGCTCTGCTTGTATCCCTCTTTGACCATTGGACTAATAGTCTTGACCTGGGATTAACAGGGGCCAAGAGACAAAAGGGCCAGTTACCAGAGACTCTCAACCCCTCCAGCTCTGACACACCCACCCTGGATCTGACACGCCTTTGGAGAATCAGAGCGCAGATTATAGGCAAAGTTAACTTATGTGGCTGGCTGACATGAGGTTTAAGAGCAGTCAAACAGAAAGCCAGACATAGTACACTGCCAAATGGATTAAGCTCTGGCTGCACACTAGCCACCCCCCCACCCCCACCTCCACCACCTCCCTCATTCTCTTGTGTGCTTTCATTCCTCACCGACTTACACCTTCTCTCATGCACACACACATCAATGCATGTTTACATGCTAACCAACACAGAGCGCGGCACAGAGAAAAATGGAGGGGGTGAGTAGGTGAGTGGAAGAGAGGAGCAGAAAGGCGGTGGGAGGGAGAGTCGGGGAGGAAAGGGGAGAAAACAAGGGAAAACACACAAGTAGGACAGTCTTACGTAATTCCTCTCATCCTTATGCATGCATGCACATAAAACACACACACACACTCATACACACTTCACGCTCCATCAGACACACAGACTCACACATGCTCATATCTTACCACCCCCCTCCCACACACACACACACACACACACACACACACACACACACACACACTACACACAACACAACAAACACTATCCATATCCATCTGATTGCTGCGGGCCGTAGTCTGGAGGAGAGCAGAGTAGCAGTGAGTTTTGCATTATTGAGCAGAAGCTGACAAATGTACAACTACCACTACAGTAGCTACAACAGAGCTGACCAGAGCATTAAACAGTGTCTGAACCCTATGCTGGATGCACCCTGGAGACTCTCATATTGTATTCCTGACTGGATCAATGCGATACATGCATTACTTAAGTAAAACTACCAATACCACCACGTGAAAAGACTCAATTACAAGTAAAAGTCCTGCATTTGTTTCTATAATTCATTAACATTTACATCAGAATTAAGAGCTAATTGTACTTAGGTATCAAACTGGATCCTTTTAGAGTAAGGCAAGGCAAGGCAAGTTTATTTGTATAGTACAATTTAACAACAAGGTAATTCAAAGTGCTTTACATAAAACATAAAAGCAACAGGGAAATATGGTACAGTACAGTAATTTCTATTATTGGATATTACTAATGCATTCCACTGTAAGCAGCATAATAATGTTGTGTAGCTCATTTTAACTACTTTAAGTAATGATGTCATTATCATATTATTGGGTGGTTTAATCTGTAAAAATGTGTATTTCATAAGATGGTCCTGTTTATGTGAAAAACATTTTAGTTTGAATCAGTGGAGTAAAGTACAATATTCTCTGTCAAATACTAATGTACTACATACGTTTCATCACTGGTCTGTTATGCCGTTTTCTGATAGTTAGTTATTAGTTATTCATCTTTACTAAACACGTGGTTTATCCCACATTTGGCTTAAGAGACACTGCTGTATGGCAAACATCCAACACACAGCAAAGATTTTCCACTAACTCATACTCAAACCAAGAGAAAGACTGCCATCCACCAACCCCTGCACTATCAGCACTAGTGTGCAGCCACACTTTGCACACTTTAAGCATTAAACACTTAATTTCCTGCATTCTATAGACATTTTCTGCACCAATGTATGGTGGAAATGTCTTTATTAATATGAAGGGAAACAAAGTTAAGGTGTCAGGTGACAATTCAAAATATAAAAATATATATGTGCACATGTGTTTCTTCTATATTTCAGTAGAATTGCATGTTTTCTTGTTGTGCATTGTTTTATTTTTTTATTCTATATTCCTTGTAGCAAGCTGGTTTTTCAGAACATTTTTAACAAAAGCTTTAAAAAAGTGAGAAAAAGAGACATTATGATTCTGACCTGTCCCCAGCGTCCCTATGACACGACACCTATCTGTCAATATTTTTAAATGTCCCGCACCATCCAGGCTGTGAGTGGTCGGTTCATGAAAAGTGACATTGAAGAGCTACATTCAGCACACGGCTGCTTGAAAGGCACCCGAGCTTCTCTTCTCCCTCGTGTCTTTCCGCCGACATAGATTAGCAGGCAGACGAGAACGGGAACAGGTGAGCGTCACGTAGCGCCCAGAGACCCTGATACGGAGAGGGCAGTGGAGAGTACCAGCAGCTTGGGAGAAGTCCCGGTACGCCATAGAGTAAAATGTCGAGTGCAGGTAGTGGTACTGCCTACCGGTGCGTACCTGGCCCACTTCAAGCACTGTTAGTAAGGTAGTTAGTTAGCAGATTAGTTAGCAATCTGGCTTGCTATCCCGTTAGTTTTCAATTCCATGTCAAAAATGTAACGCACCCCACTATGACTTAAGAGCTACATTATTTCATGGAATAGCCTATACAGAAAGACAGAAACATCTTTTCTAATTTGTGTCCATTTTCATCTCCTAGGCTTCTCTCCAAGTAAATGGATAACTTGTCTGAATAGCCCTGTCCATGGTCCATTAAAAAAATGAAAAAGAGCAAATGTATGTTTTCTTTTTCTTATTAAACAATATATTGCAATGGTTCCCAATAAACACGGAAATAGAAAATAAATTGGAACAAATTGTATACCATTAAGAGGACACATTTGACTAGCACTTTCCTTCTTCCAAATGGAAATACTGTCCAGATCTCATCATCTTCATCCCATATGTGCGTTTGTATGTTCCTATGTGTGTTTGTGTGTGGTGTATGGTTTAGTGGTAGCTTCACTTCATCTCAAACACATATAAACAAATATAATGAAGGAAACAGTATCTAAAAAGAAACACCTCCTCTCTCTCTCTCTCTCTCTCTCTTTCCCTTCATGCTGTCTCCCTATTTCACACATAAACCTCCCACACATAACAGTCTTAGTTGAGTGTAGCCTTTAGTCTGGCACCCAGGGTTTTGTGTGTGTTTGTGTATGTGAGTGAACACATGTGCAGAGCCATTTAAATATTTGAATTTGCCTGATGTCACTGTGCCATTTACAGACCTGTGACAACAGAGGTAAACGAGAACCACGAGGTGGACAACCACGACCAAAAAGCTAAGAGGGGAGCAATTTCAACAGGGGGGACATCGTAGCACAGGGAGACCAACATCTTAAATGCAGTCTCAGGATTAGTTTTATTTATAGAAAAATCTAATTTATATACATATTCAATATACTGACAGAACATCCGATCTGGGATTTATTTCTTGGCATAAAATGCTCAGATATTTTTCTGTGAACTCCCCTCGCCAACATTTTATTTGGTTTCCTCCACCTGACCTTGAATGACAGCAGGAAGTGTCCCAGTCCAACTGTCAGCCCGGATCAGACACTAGCTGCTCACTCGGTTTCACACATGGACACAGACAGTTCTCCATCATACATGCATGCACGCACACATAGACACACACACACACACACACACACACACACACACACACACACAGATGCTAAACTGGAGCTTTCAAAAGGCCCCAAGCTCGCTTGCACTTTAACATGCACAATGTTCTACCACAAATTCCCACAAAAACACACAGCACTCTGACATGCACACACACACACACACACACACTCAAACACACTCCCACACAGAAAACATGTACATAGGCAAACATTTTACATCTGTGCCTCTTTTCAGTGTGTTTATGAATTTGTCTTTGAATCATTGCAACTGCAGTTTGAAATTCAGCTAAATTATATACAGCTCATGTGTGATGTGACAAGAGAGCGAAGGATGCTGAAATAAAATCTGACTATACTGTATACAATAGGATAGTAGTCTTGTTGTGTCTATATTATCTACCCATTTAATAGCTGTCATTGTTAAATGTGCAATGGTGCCTCTTCCCTGTTTTTCGCTGATGGAACCAGGCCCAGACCTTTGAATCATTATTGATATTTTAATAAGAATGTGACATTTTAAAACAGATACTTACCACATGGAGAATCTTATTCTCTGTCTCATACACAGTGCAATCCTGTAAAACGAGAAGAAGACAGAAAGGGAGAGAAGAAGAAAACATGAGATGGAACATCCGCGCAGAGGCTCAAGTATCTCCCTCCTCCAATTATAACAACCAGGAAAAGACGGAAATAGGGAAAAGAGATGGCTGACAGGAAGACATATAGATGACTTCTTTTTCAATTGAGAACATCAGCAGTCAGCTATCCAATTTCTAACCTTCCAAAAATGCATTTTTCTTTATAACCTAGGCAGACTAAAACATTGGATTGACCAGTTCTTGCTGTCTGGAGCTCCATGTGCCTCTCCAGGATTTAGAAACTACGGTATTTGAACATGACAGATTGTTATTTAACGATAGCTGATAGTTAATCTATTTCTGGGAAAGCAGCCCACTGAATCCACCAGATGTGCATGGTAGAAGTTAATTCATCTGTTTGATGCATTAGTGCGGGCAGTGCTGCCACCTTTGTCTGTCTTGCTGCACCCTGGCAGCCACATGTTCGTTTGGCCCATTGTGGACCTACGGTGGCCCCTTTCTCCACTCCCTCCTCTGGCCCTTGTAAGAGAGGATGGGTGTTATCTGCTCAGCTCCAGGACTCACTCTGGGCACACGTACAAACACACTCTCACGCACTCTAAGCAGGCTCTTACAGGGAGGCTGTGGATGGGGTCCAGGAGAGCAGACATAGTTCCTGTCCAAAGAATGAGATTTCTACAGTAGAGTGTGTACGCATGCACCTTCAGTTTTTTTTTTAATGCATTTGTGTGTGTAAGTGTGGTGAATCTACACGAGGGAGCGAGCCAGAGGGGGAGCAGAAGGAGGACAGGAAACGAAGGGATTAGAGACCCCTACTTCATTCTCCATCACGGCCCATAAGTTAGGCAGAGGATGAAGTTTAACAGTGAGTCAATCAGCACTCTGCCTAAGGCTGTTACTGAGAGCTACTTGCCCCATCAGCCATGCTGCAAACAGCCTGTGGCAGTGGGCATATGTTCCACTCATAATCAAATCTATAGAAATGAGCCATAGACCAGAACAAGCTGTATCCGTATTGATGTCTTCAATCCAAACCCACTTTAGTTTTGCCCTTTCAATTGAAATCATGACCTTTATTATATGAGTGTAATGAATATGGACATGGTGGATTGTGCGATGTATGCTCCCGCGTGTTTGGAAGTGTGTGTGTGTTTAAATACCTGTTGTACAATAGTAGTTAATTCTAGGCAGAGCTGCACAATGTTGTTCTTCAGTAAGGAATACTCTGTCACACTGGCAAACGGAGACCTAAAGCAGACAAGAAAAGACAAAAACATAATTCCCACATAGTTCATAATCTGACAAATGCATCAGAGAGATTAAAAAATATGGTGGACTTTTCTAGAACCTTATTATATTTATTCTAAATTCTTGTTTTTGTCTGTCAAGAATTGGAAACGGAGTATAGTGTTTTTTTTCTGCAGGTTGTCACAGGTTTCAAAATCAAACTTAGATGAATGTCAGCAAAACATATTCTATAAAAAAAACTTCCTTTGGTGTTTTAGTGTTATTTTGTTTTGTTCCATTCATTTATTTACTAACAGAGGGATTTTAAAAGCTGTGATAGTTCACTGAGAGAAAGAAATAAAAGCTATTCTCTGCTCCTCTCAGAGCACAGGAGTAAGTGATAAAGACAAACAATAATATTTGGTTTTATATCGCAGCCAGGAGGCTATGCAAGCCAGGGATCTACTAAAGCTCAACATCGCTTTATTTGTATGTGTCCTCAGCTTCCTATGGTTACACCGTCACCATAACAACACATAAAATATCCATCTATGAATTGTGTTTCTGTATGAGGGGTAGAAAAAAATAACAGGAACATCTGATAATATAAAGCAAACCCCACATTACAAACTCTTTGAGGTTTATCATATTCCATTTTTATTGAAACTTTGTTGCAGAGGGAGATTGCAAGGTGTTCCTGTTATTTTGTAAGTATATTTCCCACCATCCCCGCGACCCTGTACGGATTTCCCACCATTTTCAACTACAACATTTCTTTTTTAAGAATTCACAGAGTTAAAGAAAAACAAAAAGGAGGATAGAAGTTTGGCAGATGTGTGTATTTTGATTTTGAGTTAAGTTTCAATTCGGGGTATAGGAATCATTTAAAATGTATTTCTAATTTTAAGCACAAATGGCACAAGAAGCAGTGGAGAGACACTGAGTTTGCAGTTCCAAAATCTTTTTATTCTGTTATATTGTGAGCATAGCTGACAATGATTTGACCACAGATAGACTTAAAAATTTAAAACAATAATAGCATTATAGTTGTACATTAGTATATCATTTATATATTTAGATTTTTGTTATCATCCTTACTTGATGAAAATTGGAGAAATTGTCCTAAAAATTAAAGGTCAAATTCCCAATTTCATTTTACAGCCTCGGATTTTTTTCCTACCTGTCGAGCCAGGCTAGCAGGTTCTTGGCTGCACCAATCAGATCCACCACTGAGGTGAGGAAATCATTGGGTAGCCTCCGGGAAGCTCGTCCATCGTAGTGTCCACCCCTCCGCCGGCCCAGGATGAAGTTCTGAAGGTTCTTTGCCGAAGCATTCAGCTTGTGGGACAGAGTCCGGAGATTCTCTGTCTCTAGGCCGTAGTTCTGGAGGACAAACAGAGGGATTCATTTATAATCACATTATATTTGTCAGATGTTTTAAAAGCTTGTCTACACACAGAAGGCATTTCAGATGCTGTTTCCAGTTGTCCATCTCGGGGAGCAGCGTGTCTGACGGTATAGATATGCTTCTATTTTTAACCAATACAGCACAGACAGTGTTGCGGCTCACAGTTTTCACGGTTTTTTTTTTTACGTGACCTGAAGTGTATTTTTTTGCTGTGAGCACTGCCAAAAGGCAACTGATTTGCTGCTCTGCTAACGTGCTTCCTTTGCTAGGAAAGGTCAAAGAAATAGTTCACCATTTTGGAATCTTTCTGAGAATTTGATGAAAAGATTGATACTACTCTCATATCTGTGCGTTACATCCTATCGAGCTGGAGTCAGGACGTGGTTAGCTCATAGCCTAAAGAAACAGCTGGCTATAGGCTCTCTCCCAAGTTCAAAAATACGCCCACAAACTCGTCTTTTGTGTTGGTAGGCAATTTTTTTGGAGATAACAAGGCAAGCTGTCTTCTTCTGCTTCTGCAGAGGAATGCAGAATTACATGTTATTTATTTTGCATTATGTAAGTTATGAGCCACAACATAACTTACACATTGTATTTTTATCTGTCTAATAAGGATGAACTTTCCTCAAGTTCTATAGGTTAAACAGAAAAAGTATCTACTGTGATTGAACCACAAATGGTTATTCTGAGTGGAATGAACTGAAATTAGAATTACAATCTCTGAACAACCATTAGCATTTTCATAAAACAGCTCTCTTTGCACTAATACAAGAACACCAAGCTGGTCGAGTAGCCCATTACTGCACTGTGACCCTTTTAAATGAACACACACACACACACACACAGACCTACTGAGCCACATTGCTCATCGTCCCTGGGCATCTCCAGTCATGTCCTGGCTGACAGAGCCTGATTTCTGCTGACACAAAGGCTACAAACACACACACACACACACACACACACACACACACACACACACTTGTATAGTCAAATACACAGGCTGAGCTAGACATATCTATTCCTCCTCTGCCTCAAGAGCTATTCTAAACAGTCACGACCACAGTGACTACAAAGGAGAGAGGGTTTCACAGTGGCAGCGGAGACAGAGAGAGAGAATTGAGGGAACTGAGGAACTAAAGAGGCAGAAGACAAGTGGGAGAGAGAGCACCCAGCTATGCATCTCACTGAAACTGGGTCATGCAAACACTGTGTTGTGCATAATGTTCTGTATTCTGCGTAAATGTAGATGTATACATGAACTTGGAGCATACATGTTGGCACAGCTGTAATTAGCCTGTCGATGTGAAGCTGTGTGTGGCTCTCTCTAGAGAACAGGGCGCTGAGATGAAGCGCGGGAATCAGCCCTGTGTCGACTGCCTGAATGACTGTGTGTGTGTGTAAGAAGAAAGAGAGAGAAATCATTTGAGCAGTGTGTCCATATGAGTGCCCGTGTGTGTCAAATCAATACAGTAAGAGGGCGATGCCATTAGAGCAACCCCCCCCCCCCCACACACACACACACACACACACACACCTTCTTGCCGATGTAGTTGCCATAGCAGCCATGTGTGGAGTAGCCTGTCCTCTATGCTGATATTTCTACCATTGTTCGCAGAATCACATTCAGACATCGTTTCATGAAATGTTCCAGCAAAAAAGGAGGGCTTCACCATTTAATCCTTTTCTTTTCAGAAGCATTAATCACTCTTCCTCTACTGTACATTCATTACATACAGAAGCTTTTGCAGAACACTTGCACCAATATGTAGAGTATCTAACCTCTATTAATCAGGAGGTTATCGACGCGTGTGTTGCTCTCAGCTAGGAAGATCTGGGTTCACTGCTTAGCTCAGGCAGACGAGCTTTGTATAATGAGTGAATTTTAAATGTTTACTGCAGGTTTTTCTTATTACCCAAAACAAGTCCAGTTACAGTTTTCTTCTACTGGGTTCTAGTTTAAAAATAAAAACAGCGCTTTTTTTCTCTTGATTGTCATATAACAAGAGCTGTTTTCAGCTACTGAAATACAGAATACACAGTATGAAGCGGTACATGGTTTGATTCGTTTGTAATGACATTTTCTTAGGAGACTGTTTCAAACAAAGTGTTTTAATTCATATTTGTATCATTCATAATTCATATAGTGACTATAACCAAAGTGCTATAACAAAAAACAAACAAACAAGGGAGAGAACAGTAAGACTAAAATGACACATACAGAAATGACAGAAACATGCATACAAACACACACAGAGTCAAAGGGCAAAAGATACAAGTAGGAGTGAGTGAGTGGAGGGGTCAAACGATGATGAAGGATGCTCCCTCAGAGACCAGGGCCGAACCCAAAGATAACATTCAACATTCATTTTAGCTTTCCTATATGGAATATCTGAGGACACCTGTCTAAAAAGCTCAAATGTTCAAATGAAGAGAAAAATGAATATAAATATAAAATCAATTTGGAGTCACACAGAGTAGCACTGAAAAGGAACCAACATAGAGAACTGACTCATCTGCGTGAAAGAGAGGAGATGGCGACATGAATCACTTTCTCAGAACAAAAACAAAAGTAAAATTGGGGCATAATTCCAAACATAATAACAAAGCTACCTAATTATCATTATGGATTATGCCAAGATATTTTAAGTTTCAGAGTAGTAAAGTTTTAAGGCAGAACATCCTGTCATAAGTTTTCTACCGGGTGCTCTGGTTTCCTCTGTACATCTAAACATGAAGTTTGAACCTGTAAATTCCTAATAGATTATGAATTTGTTTGTCTGTGTTAACCCTAACAGACTTCTGAACTGTATATGGTGTCTTTCTGCCTTTTGTCCAGTGTCATTAGATAATGATGCCATTTCTCTACTGCTGACGAAGAAAAGGAAGGTATGGAAATCAAATGGATCCACGCTAACTGAATGGCACTTCTCATTGTTATTTAAAGTGATTGTTAGACCTTGGATGGAACTAAAGCTTGGTCTAGTATGATACATCAAATAGAAAAGAGAAGTGGGCCTAAAATAGAACCCTGGGGACACCACAAGGACTGAATGGTGAAAAGCAAATCTCAACCTCACCAGCAGATCCAGAGGGTGCAGAATAAAGTTACGATTTGTGTGATAGATTTCACAGAGATAACCGGGACTCAGCCAGGTACCAGATAGACACAATCTACAAGGTACAACAAGATCTGTGAAGGAAATAATAATTACATTTTTAAAAAGCTAATACACAAAAGTTAACTAATCATTTCATTATACAAATACTAACTGTACACAGTATGTTACCTGTTTATGCATAGACAGCTGCTATAGCTGACTTTGAACTTTGACTTTGAATAAGTGCTTGAGAAAGAAAAGGTGTATTTGAAGTCCTTTTCTGTATGTTTTAATTTTGCAATTTTTGTGTAACTGGAATACAATATGTCTGTATGTAATTTATGCATGTCTTTCAATTCAGATTTTGGGATGAGCAGTCAATTTATTCTTAAGTTTTGCCTATTTCCCAGCACATCTTGCTGAAAATTCACTGCACCCACTTAGCTTATATGCTAGAGGCCAAAACTCGAATGCATAGACATAAAAGGGACTTTTCCACATTTACAGCAGGAATGAAAGCTCAGTAAGTGCTTGGAACTTGCATTGATCAAGGGCCACAGAAGTGAACTTTTTTTACTGCAGAAAGTCATAACGGTTGAGCCAGGGGGACAGGGTTTTGCTTTCCTTATGACAGATTATTTTGCTGACAACAGTGAATTGTCCTTAAATATCCAAATATTCAGAGGTACTATAGAGCTGTGTCCCTTTCTTACCTGGAGAGTTGGCCTACAGTTAATGAAAGGTAGGAGGTCAGTTGAGACTTGCTTTCACAAAAAAACATTTACTCAACAAAATAATTGCTGAGATCTTGGAAATTCGTTACAAAAACAGACAAGTTGTAAACCAGCGAGTGAGCACACCCAAAAGGTTAGTAATGGCAAGTTTGATATATGTTTAAAGTTAAACTGTGAAGCCCATCTGTAAACTGTGATTGATGACAGTTGGGGTAATATTTTGCTGTTCACCTTCCATTTCTCTTCCAAATAAATTTGGCAAATTTGGGTCTGATTGTCTGACTGCTTGTGTTTCTTCTCCAGATGCTGTTGTGTTCCCAGATCTTATAACTTGGAGAGTACAATGTTATTGTATCTGATAGACATGACAACTAAAACTCCAAAAAGTAAGGCCCAAGTTGTAATGGAACTGGAATTATTCTTTGTGACTAGTCACAACAGTAGTTTTAGTGGTATGCCTTGTCTACCTGGCATCTTTATATGTGTGTGTGGTGTGTATCCAGTTTCAGCACATATGGTGATTGCTGCTCTGGGACCCTCATTCCCATGCTGGAACATTTGAATGAGAAGAGGTGCTGATTAGTACACACACAAGCATGTGTGCATACACACACTCTCCCCCCCCCACCACACACTCACAAACACATTCAAACATCCCCAACTAATCCAGCCATGTGTGCCTGAGAGATAAGGTGCATCCTGCATACTCTTTCTACATACTCCCTCTTTTCCCTTTTCCTCTCTCACTCTTCCTTCCTCTCTCTTTCTCTCTCTGGGAGAGTAGCACCTAATTCCCTCTAATTCTCTAATCCTGAGCAGGGCCACTGCACATACAGTCAGCAGTGACCGAGGCAGTACACACAAAGCAGGGCCCAAATGACAGAGGATTTTTCTAGCCATTTCTTAAGCAAATATCAATAACTGGTGGGGGGGAAATAAACAACAACCAATATATAAATCTTTATACCTGTGAGACTTTCTCCGCCAGTTAAATGAAAGTAAACAATTCTTACTCAGAAATTCTGACAAACTGAGCAAAAATGATCAGTTTGTAGTTTTTGACATAAATGCTCTTTACAACCGAATTATATGTAAAATTCATTCCAAAAATACTGATGGCAGATATTTACTGGATACAAAGTCTGGGTATGGAGTGAAATGTTTTGTCCGAAAGAGTTTCGGCATCAAAACCAAAACAATGTTTTGTCTTTGCTTTTCCACAAAAACCTCATTTAACAAAAGAAGCAAGTATACTCAAATGTCATCTACTGTTAGACACTGTGCAAAAACGTTGCCTAAATACAAATGTCTAAAATAGCTGCTGTAGTTGGCAAGCTAACTGCTAACATGCAAGCCATTCGGGAGCATGCTAGCAACATGCAAGCTTTTTTGTACTTTCTCTGTACTTTTTTTTTTTTACCTCCCCTTGGCATTTTGTTCTTGGGATTGTACATAATATTGTTCAATGTAAGAGTTACTGAGGAGGGAAAAAGGCTGTATAAGCTAACAAGTGGTTGCTAATGGGACATTACATTCACAGTTTATTCAAAAAGTTTGTACTATAGACACCTGTCTCATAACTGTCTACAAGCCAGTCCTCCTCTGTATGGCAGTTTATACTCTGACAAAGGAGGGATAAATAAAAATGGAGAGTGCAGGTACGTTAGCTTCCTCCAGTTTTAGCTCTCCCTTCCCACAATGGTCAGCACTGTCATGACAGCAGTCAACAGTGCACATTAATTAAAGTGTCAAAGTTCACCAAAGTTGAACTCAATGAGCAAATCCACTTATTGCTACAAATACACTCGAATTAACGTGGCTAGGCACCAGACGTTTGAGGCAAACTTTCTGTACTGACAGTTTTTGATTCTTGATGCTATTGAATCATTTCTATAGGTACTGCAAAAGTATAGGGATACAATAACAGGTCCTGTTCGGTACTGTAAATGTTGAAAAGTGTTAATTTGTGTCAAAATATTTTCTTGGCATATATGGCAATCAAAACCATCAATTTATTTGACTTTGTGGTCAATAGAATAATTTAATAAAACTGTATAATTACACATGTACACTTTTTTTTATTAATCTATAATCTGTGGATTAAAAAGAGAAAAGCATTTTAATTTTTTCTCCTACCTCCACTAAGCTGATTAAGTATTAAAACTTTATCTTATCTCTTAATTCACTTGTATCAAACATCAGTGGAGAAATAAAAAGGGCATTGTGGCTAGCTAGTTTAACTGAAAACACCAGCCAGTGCAAGTAATGTTAATCACCCATAAACTGTACTATTTGCAGCATCACCTCTTGTAACAGTAGCTGAAGTTTTAATTGATGAAGATTAACGCAAATAAAGTTGGCAAGCTAATGCTACTTAGTATTACTTAATTACTTAATTAATGTATTCAGTTGTACTTTTGACTTGTGTGTTAAACTTTTACTACCTTTTGTTAGTTTTATGTCTCCATAGTTTTGGTTCACGGTAGTCTCATACCAATCTAGTATATCGGACCAACACCACGGCACACTCAAACCCACAATAACACACACATCCAGGACCTACATATACATCACTCCTTCCAAAGTATCATCGATTGAGAGACATAATGTCAGTAAGTAACAGAGGCTGACTGACCAGGGCACAGAGGAGGTCGACAGCTTCCAGAATGAGCTCCTGGTGTCCTATTCTGGTGACACCCAGCTCCTCCAGCTCCTGATGGGTGATGTGCAGCAGCTGCTCTCCCCCCATCTGCTCCCGCTCGAAACTCTTCACGTACTGCTGGAGACAGTCATCCAGACCTGAGAAGAGCATTGCAAGAGGTTAGCCAGTGTTGATGTTCATCTACTATTGCTGGGTATAAGGGGCTTGCTGGTCAGCCTTGGCCCAAAAAGGACAACATATTATTATTGGTCTAATTAGTGTTTTAGAGAGCGTTCTGGCCCTCCAGAGGGAAATATTGATCAATGACAGAGAGAAATACAAATTGGAGTTGCTATCTGACATATTGTACTCTGAATACTGGTCCACTTAGATGCAACACAGAATTCAGGCATGAGTGCAGACACCCACACAAAAACACACTGCGAGAGTGTGTCTTACTCTGCCAAATAGAAACAAAAGCCAAACACTAGCTATAGCCAGAATTTTTTTTGTTTGTTGGCAACTGTCACCTAGGAAACACATCTGTTGGTTCAGCTTCAAATATCTGATGATGTAAACCATGCTGTAATAAGATTTCCTTTCATGCCACTGCTTTTTTACATACACAAGAAGAATATAAGTGTTATATAAGTATAATAATTGTGTTTTCAGAGTCTGCACAGGAAGAAACCTGAATTTCATGCACATTCTGAGTGATTAAGGGTGTGTCCAAAATATTCCTAGACCAATGTGAGTAACATATTGACGTATGACTTTCCGTTGTTAAGCCGTGGCTGCCTGCCATGCAGAGAGCCAATCAGCTGCACATAGACGTGGTGGGTCCAGGATACTATTGATCAGTACGAGCCTCAGGCTTTGAACCAAACAAAGTCAGCAGAAAGCACACCTCCCCACAGACCTAATGAACAAGCCTGCTCCAAAATGAGCGTACACAGAGCAAAAAACGCATGAGAGGAAGCAAATCCATGCACACATACACACACACACACACACACACACACACACAAACACACATAAGGAGCCACAGAAACACAGAAGCAGTACACAGTACACATACAAATACAATTACAACTGCTGTTGTTATTCAGGGTCCTGACGCCTCTGTGGAGGCATGTTGTTAAAGCCGAGTGGAGCTGTGAGGAAAACACTGATGCCCAAGGGAAGCGATGCTGACAGAGAGCAGACAGTATGGTAGCACCTTAACAGTCACCACACATACACACACATTCACTACAAAGGATGAGCAAGAGACATCTTGCTCTTGGTATGCCATGGGACATAGCAGACAAAATATAAGCCTACTGTTGCTCTGAGTGACACAGACAAACAATCTTGTTACAGTTCTAAATCTAACACGTCAGTAAGGCTCTGCTCTGTAGCACCACACATGGAAATGGTTTAATGGAATACATTCCCAATAGACTCCCGAGAAACACTTCATATCCCACGTGTTAGTATGTGTTTCACATATTATCTCATGCAAGGCTGATATGACGCCAAGTTTTTACATGTATGTGAAAACTATGTGAAATCAAGTAGGCGCATATGATAACTTGTTTTCACATGTGCATATGTAATTTGGTGTGCTAATCAGGTGATGCTACTTTAGAACATCTAAGTAGTAAAACATTTGAAAACAGCTGCAATATTAACATGTACTACTACCTGTCCAAAAGGTCACAAGATCAATCAGAGAGGTCATGAGATTAAGGATTAATAGAAACGAGCAAAAACAGTTCTGTATGTATTCATTTCTTTAAACTTTTCCCTGCTCTCCGCTTTTGGTGTGAAATATTGGGAAATTTGACCTTTTCTGAAGTTTAACCGAAGTGTAGAAACTGAATCTGAAATGGGACAAGGGGCCCCAGCTAGACACAGACTTTTTGGAAGAGGTCACAAGGCAAAAACATTCTGGAACAACTTGTTTAATCTTAAACAATGTGTTGCATTTTATAAAATATAAATCTGAAAAGTAACTGGTAAGCGGTAAAAGAATATATAGTAAAAAGTACATAGTAGCATAAGGAAGGAAATACTTAGGATATAATAAGGAGATACTCAAATAAGAATAGAGACCGCAGAATTGTACTGAAGTCAGTACTTGAATAAATAGTTACTCTCCACCACTGTATGTGACATATAGAAAGAGATTTTTTATTTGTTCAACATCTGACCTACGCGTGTGCATTCATGGTCTTTCATGAGGACATTTAATGTGTGTTTTTTTCTGTAAAAATCTATTTAAATTGTTGTGTGTGCTCTCATGCCCATAGTTTCTCATCTTTATTCAGGCAAACAAAGAAAAATTTCAATACATTGTATTTTAATTAGCTGCTTTTCCTTCCTTTCAGTGTAAAATGTTTATTACATTGTGGTCTAATAAATCATCACCAGTGCTGGCAGACATATATAAGTTGACTGAACATGCAGACTTATTTAGCTAGCCAGCAGCTATAGGAGCCACATCCACACAGAGAACATGGAGGCAGAGAGGAAGCCCTGCTGCTAACAACTAGGATTTCTGAATATCTGACTCCTGATCCTCACTATAAGAAAGACATGAGAAGAAAAAGAACAAAACAGATGCTATTTCTCAAAATAGACGTCTTTATGTCCATACCTAACTAAAGTCAGCCTCCCGAACCAAACAAAACTTTCCTTCTCTTCCCCTCTGCCACTCCGTCAATCTGACATTTATCCCTCCCTGTTTACACCTCTGCCTCTCAAAGGTGCTGAAGCACTTTTTCACAGTAGCCATGTCAAAGTGGCAGGTCATGGCTTATGTCATCATAATGCAAATGCACTCTCTGACTAAATTTGCAAAATGACGACAGTATGACATCTTCATTGCACATTTAAGGTTTTCTGCGTGTGGAAAAAGTAGATCACACTTATTATTCTAGTTGCCACTTTAGTCCTTTTCCTGGTTTCTAATGATTAACAGTTCCACCTTTCTTTCCCCACCTACAATAATATATAAAGTATATAAATTATATAAAGAGGTGATGAATAAAGAATCAAAGAAATCCAGGCTGACTACCACTGCTTGCTCTGAGAAAGCACCCTACTATAGCTACTGCAACTTCTACTTCTGCAATGCACTCATAGATTAATGGGTTGCTGAGTTGACAGCAGTGCATTTAGTGGCCATTCTCTTTAAGGTAGGATTTGTTGTTTCAATATATATGAATTCTCACTTGAATATCATAGTATATGTAATTAGTTAATATCTGCAGCAGTTGTGTCTGTAAGAAGCACCAACAAATAATTTTTTATGCCGCCCAAGTGCCATCTCACATCAGACTGTTTATTGTGTTCAAGTAACTGCAGGAAATATGAAAACTGACCTCTTGCTTAAGTAGGCCATGCAGTGTAATAAGAGTCAAACAAATCCTAGCCTGCATGCAGCTGAAATAAACAAAAAGTAATTTTGCATGAGTAATGTCAGAAGTGTCTCTCCGTGTAATCAAGTCTTAAGCTTCTCCTAGTTTCCCCTGGGAGCTATACTGACTTTCAAATTAGATATTTTATCATAGCCTAACCACAGATAGAAATGTGGTTATGGGAGGCCACACAAATGTCTTTCCAATAAATATTATTTTTCGTGCTGCGATTTGGGACCTCAACATTGAACAGTATTTGCTGAACCAGCTTTCCCATAACACTTTAAATATCTCTTTGTGATACAAATTGTCCAATTGTAAACAGTCAGCTTTCATCTACAAGACAGTTTTGATATACTTAAGGCTTTAAATGTATTTTTGTATTTCTTTGTATGGCTATTATTGCATGATGTCCAATGACAATTCAAGTACTCACATCCTAAATTCTGCTGTGACACTTGGATTTGTGAATGGTGAGTCAGCTCACTTTTGTAGGCTCCTTTTTTAAGTTGAATAAAAGCCTTTTTCAGAAACTTTATTGGACAAAAGCACCAAAAAATAGTGCTGGGTTTTGATGGCTGGTTCTATTTTGGGTCTGGTTCCAAAATCTTCTTACTATGAGTTATGGGTTCCTTCATGTGAACAAAATGTTATAGCTATGTTGGTTATTTCATTTGAGAGATTTCTCTATTTCTGTCATAGTCTGTCCTCTTTTCATTAGTGTGAACTGGGCGGGATACTTTTGGAAATAACTATTTTAGGATTTTGGAATAATCAAAATCTGATGGCACTGGTGGGTTGTTTGATAATGTTGGCCGGCCACTCTCAATCAATTGTGAGTCGCTTTAGTTAAAAACGTCAGCTAAATGAATAAATGTAATGTAAATGATTGTTGTTGTTTCAGGAGATTAACCTCCAGCTATCTCTTAACAAATCTTCTCTTTCTTCCGTCTGTCTGTAGCAATGTGTAAAATATGTAATATGTCCAGCAAAGCTTGAATTTTAGTTCTATTAATTACAATTTCAAAGTCGTATTTTTAAAAACTTCATTTATCTTTGATTTTTGTTACACATTGCTGAAAACTAGAACTTGAAAACTAAATTAGATTTTGAAAGGAATTTACAAAGTAAACCATAAGGCTGTAATATTTTTCAACCTCAAAGAGTTTAACAACTACACTGCAGAGTTGCAGAGTTTTTACTCATCAAATAAAATCAGTCAATCAAAAGGATTCAGATTCTTTAATCTATGCTTTAGATTTTAAAAAATGTTGTTGAACCACATCCTTACCACAAAGGCACAACATTTTTATTGTTTCTCCCATGTTTGTTTAGTATCCCCAGCCTAATGTAGGATCCAAATATATTTAGTGAAAGTGAAACATCTCTGTAAGAAACACTGCAGAATCCCATGACCCCGGCCATCACTAAATCCCAGCATGCTGAAGCTTGAGCAAGCATCTCATGTTGACAGCTTCATCCACTTTTCATGCAGTTCCCTCCCATCTTTTCCTCTTTCCTGGGCAAAATAAATAAATAAAATCCCTCCCCTTCGGAAACACGAGGGTTGCCAGGCAACCAGAGCAAGAGAGGCCTCAGAGAAGAAGTGAGGGATCAGCAGTCGCTGCCCCTCAGGAACCTGCACTGATGCTAGGCTAAGGAGTCGCACACCGACACACCGACACACTATAATTACACACACAAACACACACCATGTAGCCTTTATATGTGTTCCACACACTGAAGGCCATAAT